AATAGATATTATAATACTAATATTTTAACGGGCGGTATACTAACGCTTTAAATTTAATACCGGTTTCGTATCTGCGTTGGAGTTTATAAGAATAGATATTATAATACCGATATTCTAGCGGATGGTACGTTAACGCTTTAAATTTAATATTAGTTTTATATTCGTATTAGAATTTATAAAAATAAATATTATAATACTAATATTCTAGCGGGTAGTACGTTAATACTTTAAATTTAATATTAATTTTATATCTATATTAGAATTTATAAAAATAGATATTATAATACTAATATTCTAGTAAGTAGAACGTTAACTCTTTAAATTTAATACCGGCTTTAGGGTTGTATTAGAATTTATAAGAATAGATATTATAATATTAATATTCTAATAAGTAATTCGCTAGTAGTAGAGCGGCTATAATCTAGAATATAATGTTAGCGGCTATAATAAGTAATGCCCGATAATACTATAGTACCCGGCGTTTATTATAGAGGTTCTAAAGACAGAATTTATAAGGGGGGGGGTTGTATTAGAAGGTTAAGAACCTGTATATAAAAGCACTTTAGCAGTTACTATTCCCCTTTGTTAATTAAAGTGTAGGATTATTTATAATAATATTTATATCGGGTCGAATTTGTAGGAAGAATAATCCGGCACTGCGCTGAAGCGCTAAATTAATACGAAGCTTTATAATACTCGTTAGCGGATGAATAGAGTTTGTATAAGTATAAAAGAGGTTCAACGGAGCGTATTTTATTATAGTCGATAACTATCAATACATCTTTAAATTAACCCCTAATTTACCGTCCCTTACGTATAGCCACAACCGTAGTCACCTCAGCCTACCTTTCGCCTACGTTCCTAACACAATACTAATAAAGGAGGTACTAACACCCCCAATAAAGGGGGCGCTAATACTAGAAAATAATGAATAATAATTATAATTTATTCTTTTATTTACTTACTACTTAATTAAGTAATATACTAGATTTCTAAAAGCCTCAAACGACGTTATATTAATGTAAAATATAGTAATTTACTATAGGGATGGGTCACTTTACTAGTGGTTTACTATGGGGCTTGTCCTATAATAAAAGTCTGTCCTATATTTTCGTAACCCCCTACTTAACGAGTAGGGGTTGAAAAATGGCCCCACACCCGGCCGCCCCCAACCCCCAAGTACCTTTTCCGCAGAGCGTTCAATGATGAATCGGCCCCACCAAAAAGTTCGCGGTGGACCCGTCCGGTGCATTTTCTCTGCGTTTCTTGCAAAAAAAGACCGAAAAAATAAAAAGAGAAGCTGGTTTGACGTTTCGCATTTTCTCACTTCTTCTTTCCTTCCCTTCTTCCACAGCATTTCTTTGCTTCCAACATCCCTCACCAACCACCACGGTCAGGATTCAATGCGCCGGCGCACTTGAGCTTCTACCTCTAATATCTTTTTTTTCTTTTGTTTGCCTGACCAAGTCGCAAACACCGAGCATTCGGTATCGGGGGAGAAATGATCCCGCCGAGCACTTTGTCATCGCGAGCTACCCTCACTCCGAGAGCTCCGAATGGCTGACCGACATGGTCCCATCCGCCCTGTCGGCCGCTCGCATGCTTTGAGTCGCCCTCGCGCTCATGCTGGTGGTATCGTCGGGCGGTTGACCTACATCCCCGCTCAAATCAACCAAGGCACTGGTCAACTTCGCAAAGATCGTGCTAGAGATGAGAGTAAGCTGCTCCTCACCTGCGCCTCACTCTGGGCATTCTGGGACTAACCGACTCCGCTGTTAGTTCCTCAATTCCAACAGGTGACGCCTTTCAATCAGTGGTCCGCGCCCACCAAGACAGCCTTTCCTGACTTTGGCAGCTTTGGTCCTTCCCAACTTGCCAAGTCTCAGAACAACTGGCTCCTCAAAACCCTCCCAGAGGCTTTTCTCGGAGATGTTGATACCGAGACGCTGCTCATCGAGGAGATCAGCAACACTTACTCGCGCACCCGTCCCGCAACACCAACCACTGTCTCCCTCCTGGCCACTGGAGAGATCACTGATGTTAGAGACTCTGATAGAGTCAAGGGACACACGGTGCTTGCCACTGCCAGCGGAGAGTCGGGGCACATTCTTCGCTTGATCAGTCTCGCCCGTGAAGAGTGGAGCTGGAGAGATGAGGACGTTAAGATACGTCTTCATGCCCCGAACCATCATCTCGAAGGAGACTGGTGTCAGGACAGCGTTCCCATCTCATTGATCAAGTTCGTCAATAACAGCAAGAAGTACGACCAGATTCGCTGGCTCATTGTGCAGAAACCGACTTCAACTACGGTCTGCGAGCCCGAACTCAGAAAGCTGCCGGTGCAATGCTCATCCTCCACTCAACCATCTTCCTCAACCCTGACGCAACTTGTTGCCAACCCCTTGTTCACCATCACATCCGATCGATCCGGGGGCGGTTCTCACTCGGATGTCTCCTTTAATCCGCTTTCTGATGATCAGGTCCCTCAGCTTGCCATCATTGATCAAGCTGGGTATTGGAGCGTATGGGACATTGTTGGCCGACGAGGTGCACGGCCCAAGGTGATGAAGCCGGTACTGAGAATGTGCGGCAACATCAGCCTAGGGTCCATCCCAAAGTTCCCTGGCAGGACAGCAGATGATCAGGAACCACATAGAATCATGTGGCTGTCTCTGAAAAGGGACAGGTCCGATGATGAAAGCCGTCCAGGAAGTCGGTCAAGAAGTTCCACGCGCGCCAAACCAAGGCACCGTCTGTCTCGGGCTAGCTTGCTTCTCCTCGGAAACAGCACTAATCTCTGCCTTTTCGACACGGAAACTCGCAAGTCTGAGGTCCAACCTCATTTGCTAGCAGCAAGGAAGGGAGAACGTCTTTTGGACCTCGCCCCTTCGCACTTGGATCCATCACAGGCCTTCCTTCTCACAAATACAACCATTTCCTGGCTTTCTGTCAAAGACGATGGTTCTGGAATGCGGCTTGAGCCACTTGTCTTTTCACCCCACCGAAGAGACGTCCAAGATCCGTCACTGAGGCTCGAGGTGTCTCCTGGAACATTCATCGATGGTGCTTTGGCCTGCTTCGTGTCGATCCGTTCTAGTCGAAATGGCGAAGTTACTGTCTTTTGGTTCATCAGCCCCAGCTCAGGGAAGCCTCTTCGCTACCATCGGGAGTCAGTTCGCCTCAGAGCTTCATCCAAGTCCATCAGTGTCGCTATGCTTCCGGTCGAGCGACGCGTTGGCCAAGCAAAGCTTACGGCACCTCTCACTCGTGCTCTCGCGAAGAGGCAAACCAGGTTCTTCCAGCTGGTTACGCTGGGACACAATCTGGACCTGAGCTGCTCGCTTTGCATGTGGTCTGACGAGCCTGGTGTACGGGTGCGACCTCCTGATGAATGCGTAGCCCGTTCTGGCTCTGCATCGGAGCAATCAATACTGCGGGAGCAACTGCGCAATGCATTTGCCTTACCAGACGAGCTTGACGACCGTTCCTTAGTCCGCGAGTCTCGAAGCCCGGAACTTGGCCGAGATTCATCTGGAGCTCTGAAAAGGGAACCAGATACTCAGAGTCTTGTGGTCTACGGGCGGGCATTGGCCAAAACGCTAGTGGTTCCCTCAACGTCGAACGAGGCACGCCCATCGCAAAATGAAGTCGACATTACTCGCATCGCTGACGTCCTGAGTCGTGAGACACACGATGGCTATATGCCTAGACACTCTCTGTAAGTTGACATAATTCAAACTTTGCACAGTATCCGTCCTATATGATGATTTCTCGAAAGAGAGGCTGTTTATGATCAACAATGATTACAAAAATACACCTATACATTGTTCTATTTCTGATCCAGGACTCACCACACACACTTGTCATTCCTCCTTTTCCGTCGGGACAGGTTGCTAACGCTTTGCGTCAAAGACTTAATCTAGTGAAACAAACAAGAGGTGTTCAAGACGTCGTCGGACTCGCCTCATGGTGGTCATCCCATCAGCACTTGTTGCTTGATAATGTTCCTGGGAGACTGGTTCCCACCAATGGTCGTCACGTCTTGGGTGATGAGATAGACCGCGCCTTTGAGAAGTTGATGGCGATGTTCTCTCATCTTCCCTTAAACCATCGAAAGGCGTCCCGAGGGGCTCTCATTCCCAAGCTGCAGCTTCTCGCGGCCGAGACTCTCCTTTCGGAGGCCGGAGTAGCGGCAGTACCTGAAGAATGGGCTGCAGCGGAGACTTGGGATGGCAGATTGAGTCAGAGCCAGTCATTTGCCAGTTCCATGCCTTTTGGCAGCTCTCCTCCCTTGTTCTCCTCACAAGTTCACTCCCAGTTCGTACAGCACTCGCAGTCGCAATTACAGTCTCAAGGCTATGATACGACCCAGAGTCAAGATCAACCAGACGGTGAAGATGTAGTGGGCGTGAGGCTACGCCAGTACGTGGCCATGAACCCCGTTTCGAAGAGAATTGGCGGTAGAACCCGAGTCACCTCTCACTGGGAGCTTGGTGAAGACCCCAATGTCATCACATGGAAGCCAGGTCAAGATGACGAGGAAGATGATGCTGGTCTTAGGAGAAGGCGCAAGCTCGAGGCAAAGCGCAGGAAGAGAGAGAAGTTGCTGGCGAGGATTCGCGGAGTTGAAGCTGTCAAGGCAGAAAGTCAACCTCTGCCGTTTGCCATTCAGTCAAGCCAGCCGAGAGGTTTTGCTTTCACGCAGAACACTCAGCCGGAATCATCGCAGTTTTTTGCATCGCAGCCCATGTCACAAATTGTTGCAGGACCGCATGGAGGTAGGCCCTCTCATGTGAAGAAGAAGCAAAAGGTGAAGAAGCGGATGGGATTCAGATAGATGAATTTGACTGTATGGCAACCTCATTTTTTTTCGTGCTTGATCCTGACGTGATGTTGTGTGACAATCAGATGTGTGACCGATGGTGGAGGTGGTTCGTTTGCTTGCTGATCGATGGATGTTTGGATGAGAAAGTGCGGAAAACACTCGAAGATTCGGCGTTCAATGTATAAGCCAATTCTTGTAAACGATTTTCGTCAAAGTAGTTTGCATGCTATTCAACATCTTCCATATAGCTTTCCAATCTCCGACAGGCATTTTTGTTGATCGTTGTCGTTGAAATGTAGTTGGTCGCAATCACCCACTGGAAGAACTAACGGTCAACTCAAATCACGCAGGTTTACGACGAAAGCATTCAGTCTTGGCCCCTCACTTTCACCAGACTTCAACAACCACTCCGTCGTCAAAATCAATCATCAAAACCTTGACAACTCGAGGCACAGAAATCTTGTATTCCAACAACTCAATTCGGGACAATGTCGCACCACTGCCACGATGAGCACGACGACCACCACCACCATCATGAGGGCGGGGCAGAGCACGACCACTCTGACGACATCACCCCCGCCGTGCAGTTCTCGCTGTACCAGCACATCAACTTTGACGAGATCACCACCCTGAACGAGCAGGTGCACGGCTCTGGCCAGGCCATTATCAAGAAGACGTGGGCCGAACGATTGGCGACGGAGCCCGAGGTGGTGAGCGATGCTGATGAGCAGCTGATTATCAACGTTCCGTATGTCACACTACGTTACCTCACTTGATCACTCAAGTCATTCACATCTTCACGAATTTCAATGTCATTCCTCTCCTGTAACATACACATCATACAATGACCCCATCATACACACCCAATCACTAACACACACACCCAAATAGTTTCACAGCCCAAATCAAACTGCACTCCGTCCTCCTGCGCACCTCGCCCTCCCCCTCGGCCCCGCGCACCCTCCGCCTCCTCGCCAACGCCGACATCCACGATTTCGGTCAAGCTGAGGACTCTACTCCGACACAAGAATTCGAGCTCTCTCAAACTTCGGAAATCCAGGAATTGCCCGTCAAGCGAGCCAAGTTCAACGCCGTGCAAAGACTGTGCTTGTTTTTCCCGGATAATTTTTCGCAAGGAGAGGAGGATGAAACGAGAATCAGTTATATTGGTTTCAAGGGAGAGTGGATGACGTTGGGACAGGCGCCGAAGAATATCGTCTACGAGGCGGCGGCTAGGCCGACGGATCATAAGGTGAAAGGGACGGCGGACGCAAGAGGTGTGGGATATAACCGTCAGGGGTAGAGAGGAACTTTTGCGGGGAGTGAGGAATGAGTGACGGGTAGGAAGGGGTTTGAGAGTGGATGAAGGAGCTACCTCTAGTGATGGGTCAAACCTGGTTTAGTTCTTAGTCTGCTGCTTTAAAGGCAGCAGCATACCAGATAGGAATCGAGGTTGGGAAGGTTCTGACAATGGCTTTCGGGCATCAAAGGATTTTCAGGTCTTATGTAGCATGGAAAACTTAAGTAGGTTTGCTTCTTTTGTTCTCAAGCGAATTTACATGAAATCATCCTCCCAGGTCTCATCCCGATCCTGATTGCTCGAGTTCATCATGTTCTCCTCAGCAAAGAGCTCATCGTAGGCATGATCCTTCTGCCACTTCTTCTCGGCCCGCTCCTTCTTCAGGCGATCCTCCTCCTTCTTCCGCGCCAGCACCGCCGCCTGATCCTTCTTGCGCAGCTCTTTGAGATGCTGCTCCTTCTCCTCTCGCAGGTCCGGGTGCTTCTCAACCTTGGTCTTGTTCAAACGGTTGACGATAGCATTTTCGCGCTGCGCGATCAAAATGCGCTTCACTTTCTTCTGATCCTTGAAGCTGACCTGGCCGACCGCCATGCTGCCGTCCTTCTTAAGATTGGCCCATGGGGTATAGATGATTGTGATGTTGTCCTTCTTGTTACCTTTACAAAAGCACAGAGTTAGTCCTCACGAATTCCCCCATGACTTCCTGACAGTAGAATTCAAAAGCAGGAACTTACCCTCGATGGAGTTGGCCTTGGTCAACTGACCAAGGTCGGTCAGGAGCTCCTCGGGAATGTTCTCCCATGTCCAACCCTCTGGGAGACGGAGGTAGATATGAGCACTGGAAAGTTTGTCGACATGGAACTAGGGCCTAGTAATGAGATACAGAGCATAATATGACGAGAACCGCATGGGGAGTCATACCCTACGAAGAATAGTTAGAAAATGCCGAACTAGGCTTGGCCGGGGTGAAACTTACCATACATCCTCCTCCCAGCCGTGTTTGATCAACTCCTCGTCTATAAAATAGCATGTTAGATGAGTGACGAGATGGCATACACGTCCAAGTCGAATATGCAATGTCCATGAGTGTGTCAAGATATATGCATATTCCACAAGGAGATGCAGAATACCAATTGTGGCTGATGATCGTCTTCACCTACTCTCAAACTTGTCTTTCCCCACATAAATGAACGCCGGGGGACTGACGACGGTCGAAGTGAAATAGAAGACCATGGTTGCTGATGCCTCAAGAAGAAATGAAAGATGGGAATATTGGGTATCTCAAAACGGCGACAATGAAAAAGGCACTTTCGTGCAAGAAGGAAAACCAAAATGCAAAAAAGCGATTTCTTCTCTGGGGCTGTGTGGTGGTGGTTCGAGTGAAGATGTTTTAGCGGTTGAGTTTGGGGGATCCAATGCGGTAAAATGCGCCCGCACTCCAGCGGAAGTACATAAAGTGAATCGAAAGAAACAATTAACCCTAACCCTTCTTGTAGATATGTCCCTTTGTACTCGACAATCCGCCAAATACATACCCGCCTGTAAATAGCCGCCCCTCCCCTGTCAATTGTGAATCCCCGGATGCCGAACCGATCGACGTTATCGGGGGGAGCATCCCGTTACTGAATTTCTGAGTGGCTATCAAATTTCTGCTGCTCCGTGCTTCGAGCCGGCGACCACCACTCCCGCACCCGCCCCAAAACCACCTCAACGGCCGCGCGCCGAAACGACCTCCCAACTCCGCCCCCTCCGGTTCGCGTCTCGAAGACAGCCGGTGTCCTTTCCATTCCCCCACTCGACGCTCCGGGGCCCCGACATCGATACAACGAACACCGTCAGGTCCAATTGACTGCGACCAACCCCACCAAAAGCAACACAACACCACCCAACCCTCCCCTCAGACTTATACACATACACGATGGCGCCCCGGCTGCCCGCGCGCTGCTGGAGGCAGCTCTCCCTCGTCGAGAGGTCAGCCACCCACACCACAACCACCGCCGCCAGCTCCCTCCTCCTCGCCGGCCGGACCACACCCACCTTCTCCGCCTCCTCGCCATCGACCGTCTTTCCCTCCCTCCTCCCTCAGATCACAAAGCGCGGCGTCAAGTACGGCTGGAGCACGCTCCCGAAGCGCAGCAGGCCCACACGATTCAACCAAGTGACGCAGGGTCTTCCGGCGCCCACCTCGGGTCCGGCCGCTGCCCTCAAGCGCCGCGAGAAGACTACACCCCTGCGCACCGGCGTGCTCGCTGTCAAGAAGGGCATGACCGTCTTCATGGGCCGCACCGGCGCCCGCATCCCCTGCACCGTCCTGCAGCTCGACCGGGTCCAAGTCGTCGCCAACAAGACGCGCGCCAAGAACGGCTACTGGGCCGTCCAGGTTGGCCTGGGCGAGCGCCGCGCCGAAAACGTGGGCGCCCCGCAGCTCGGCTATTACGAGGCCAAGGGCATCCCGCCCAAGCAGACGCTCGCCGAGTTCAAGGTGCGCAACCAGGACGGTCTGTTGCCGGTCGGCGTCCAGCTGTTTCCGGACTGGTTCCACGTCGGCCAGGTGGTGGACGTGCGCGGCATCACGCGCGGTATGGGTTTTGCCGGTGGTATGAAGCGTCACGGCTTCGCCGGTCAGGAGGCGTCGCACGGTAACTCGCTGAACCACCGTACCATTGGTTCCGTCGGTGGTTCGCAGGGCTCCGGTTCGCGTGTGTTGCCCGGCAAGAAGATGCCCGGTCGCATGGGCGCGCAGCAGCACACGGTCCAGAACCTGCCCATTCTGATGGTGGACAACGAGCTCGGCATCGTGGTGGTCAAGGGCGCGGTCGCTGGTCACAAGGGTGCGGTTGTCAAGGTTCAGGATGCTGTCAAGAAGGCTCCTCCCCCGGAGGAGTTTGTCGAGGCCACCAAGCAGCTCCTCAACGAGCGGTTCCCCGATGCGGAGGAGAAGTTGCAGGCGGCGAGGAAGTTGCACTTGGAGCTCAAGGAGGCGAGGAGACAGGGCCTGATAGATTCGCTCATCAAGAATGGGCTGACAGAGAAGGCGGATGGAAATGCTGCGGTAGAGGCTTCGGCTTAAGAGAGGGGGGGCTGTCTGGTCTGTAGTATGTGTTTGTACTAGGTTTATGGAAGGGAATGTATGGTATAGCCTTCCCGGTTTCTCTTTTTTAGTTCTCTCTTGTATGATACACACGCATCGTGGGGTGTTAAAATGTACAGCTACCGAAAATGTATAACAACTTGAACATACAACCCTTGCCCGTGATAGGTTCGTATGTTCTCTCCCTATATCTTACATATCCCTCCTTGACAGCCTTTGGGTATTCAATCAGAGAGCCAGAACACGATCCTGTCCTTCAGCTCATCCTGTTTGAGAGGGGGGGAGGGGGACCACCACCTTCCCCGGTTCTCATATATATCCTCCCTTTTTCAAAACTATTCCCTCCTTAAGAGCACCCCAAAACAATTACTTGGGCATCTGCCTGAAACCCCTAACCTTCGCATCCTCTGCATCATCATCATCCAGCTCAGGCTCCGTTGCACGGCCGTTGATAGCTCTGAAGGGATCGCCCTCCTCCAGCAGGTCAATGACCTTGCCGTCCTCCGTCTCCAGACTCCACTCGGTCGTCTCGAACATGCCTCGGGGCGTGGGCCGGAAGCTGGCGAAGCGCATCACGCCCGTGCGCTTGGTGCCCTTGACATTGAACTTGATGTCGATGCGGCCGTGCAGCTGGTTCATCTCGCCCGAGATCCACGGAATCTGCGCCTTGAAGTAGATCTCGTCGCCCAGGTACTCGCGCGCGCGCTGGTTCGTGCGCAGCGCATAGAGGGTTGACTCGACCACGGGGGAAGAGAGTTTCTGGTAGTTGAAGATGGCGATCGAGGTGGCGGCTACGATGCCCAAGAAGATAGGGAAGGTGCGGGACCAGCGGAAGCGGGAGGTTTGGACGTCTGTTTTTGTGGTTGGGAAGGGAAGAAAGGGTCAGTAACTTCCATGGTAAGGAACTCAATTGGGGTGCGGAAACAGCAGGAAACACAGAACACAGAGAAGTGAAGAAGCGAGAGACACGGGGAGAACATACCAGGAAGTTCACGATCAGCTCGCCTCTCCATCAACGGACCATCGCCAGGCCTGGGTGCCGATGTGAGAGATCTCCTCTGGGTTTGAGCGCGGCCCTTGGCGCAAGGGGAAGGCCTCGCCAGCGCCCTCTTTAAGGCCATACGTTGTGTTATCCTAGAGAGCATTGTGTGTGTTTATGTGTGTGTAAATGATATGTGTAGTTTCGTGTGAAGGTTATTTTCAGACGAACGATGGGGAGGGACGGGACGGGATGTGTTGACACAACGAAGCTTCGGAGTTCGTCCCGTACACTAAAGCTACCTACCTACCAAATGGAAGCTGCCCTGGCGACGATTCCTACGATAACTCGTTTATCGATAGGCAGTGGGGCGGCACTACGTCGACCACCCCACTACGATTTGATTAGTGCATAGCCTTTTGGAAATATTCTTGTAGCAGCAAGTACCGAGCTGTCGGGGTGGCTGGTGAGGGTTGGGAGTTGATGAGAGAACCTCGGGGTCGTGTTTGGGGAATTCACCCTCGTGGCTTGGCGGATAAATGCTTCCTCCTCTTTTCAACAACATCAAACAACCATTGTCGGCATCGCGGTGTCATGTCTCATTACAATGTCTAAATTGTCCATTTGGGGGCTTTTTATGTTCTTTCTTTGATGAGACTATCCCGTTCTGTTGAGAGGTTGCAAGTGCATCATTTTTTTTTTTTTTCCCTCGTTGTCCCAGGTTCAAGAAGAAGAAGAAAACAGGAAAATCTCCTGTTGAGTTGCCGGTTAGCTTGCCAATTCACGAACTGTGGCTCTGTTGCTGTATCGTTCAGCATTTCTCTGCTTATATGCTTGATGACGATGGCCGAGAGGTACAATTCCTATTTTGGCTCTTAATTTCAAAGCGTGGCGCTACCTACTATTCCACCGGGCTGACAAGTATGGTCTCTTCCTGTCCGCCTATGATGCAGTTGGCTTCAACTCCATATGCCGTGAGAGACGGTCAATTTCTATCCTCCAGTGGGAACTGGACTCTTCAGTCTCCGGATTGTAACCGGCCTCGAACAACTCCCAACAAAGAATAGTATTCGTCAATCCAGGACGTCACAATATCCCATATTTGGCAAGGCAAGCTCTGTTGTGTATAGCCACAAAATGGGTTACAACCTTGCGAGGCGAGGCGAGCCTCGTGCTTAATGCTTTGCGTCCACGGATCAGCGCGTGGCAGTTCCATGCAGACTAGGCATCTCTCATATGGAAGGGTTTTCGTGGCGTTGGCTGGGCATACGCAGTGATATCCCTCCTTGAGAGAAAAAAAAAAGAGAAGTACGTACCCGGTCGAGCCAATCTCACTGCACATCATGAAGAGGCAGTGTCAGTTTTGTGTGCTTACGTGTGGACAAGCTGACAACCACCACATTTGGAAATGGGATCCAATCCGCGTCCCCAAAGGCGGGTGAGAGAAGGCTTTTCGCCCAACGAAAGAAAAGACGAACCGGCACGACCGCAGTCGGTCCGCTCTTAAATAAGATGGCTAGCGCTGTTGTCAATATCTGGGGAAACTTGGACAGGCCCCAACCACATTGCACTTTGCCATATCAAGACCCCAACTGTTCCTGTCCTTCTTCACACTGTTAAGCTCTTCTATTCCCTCAGCCAAAATGGCTTCAAGCAGGCTCATGAAAGCCATCTATGTGGCTTTGTTTTTGCTTTACGTTGACGCAGCCATCTCATTATCCCTTGTCTCGTCAATGGTGGCATTTCTTCATGGACGCGGCGGCCAACCATTTGAGGTCCGACGACTTGGTTCGTTCTTTGACCTTCCCGGAGAACCTGCACATCTTTTAACGGACCACGGCCATACGACAAATGCAGCAGGAGGTACGGGCGTCGTCCTTGTAGGGTTCGGTGGCCTCCTAGCTTTGTGGTTGGAGCATAGGTCCAGGGCAAAGGTATGTGTTCATTCTCGTACAATCATTGTGCATTGTGCGTATACTAAATAACCTTGTGGCAGTACGGAAAAACATCGCCATTCTACTATCTCTGGGCCCTTATCACGATTCTCAGCTGGCTTCTTACTCTCACGGCTCTGATATATACCTATGTCCTGACCAACAGGCACTCGGATCAGGGTATTGACCTCGCCTACGCAGAAGGCAATGCTCCGAAGCCGTACCCACGGGACTCTTGGACCCCGGAGAACTGGTATACGCAGGTCAACAGTCTATCACTTGTCCACAGCGACGATCACGACATGCTGAAGAAGAAATTGAGATCCATGCGCGGATGGCGCTACAACCTTATTCCCTTCATGATTCTTGGTTTCATTCTCATGGTCCTCGTCATCGTGGAGCTGTTGAGTTTCAGGAGGTCGAGGGGTAGGAAGACAGAACAGCCATTTGAAGAACGGCCGCATGAGTCCGCTCACTTGGTAGCCTGATGTGGGCCTTCAAGCTGGGGAACTTAAGGGATTTGTGATTGTGGTCACTTAAGCGGTACGGTCGAGATGTTATAACCGATGTCAATTCATTAGTAAACAAAGGGTTTTGCTCAAAGGAGGTAGATGGATGGAAGAGTGTCGACAGAGGAGTAACAAAGATGATCCCAGTGGTATTGTAGTTTGAAAGAAAGATATTAGAGCTTCAAATTGAGAAACAATGCCTTGGCATCACGTACTTGCACACCTGCATTGCATCCGAACGACGCCGATGTGACAAAGAAAAAGGGGTTCAGGGGGGGGGGGGGGGGGGGGTCAACACTCAACAACAGTGAATGCAGGGGTAGCTCCCGCCTCAGTACGTAGACCTTCCGATAAGGCGGGACATAGATAAGGATTTTTGGGGACGGGGCAGACCGACAGCTCAGTATGTAGTCCGATGGCGGGCATCCCGGACCTTACCTACTGTACGTAGCTGGACCAACAGCGACCAACAGGGAGCAAGAGGGAACCGGAAGAGCCACGTTCGTCCACTGAAGAAGAAGGCACGACGTCACAGTCACCTTTGTCGCTTCTAGTTCAATCTGTCCATTTCTTCGTTTTACAAATCATCATCCATCCCTCAACCGATCAATCCCTCTGCGCGCGCGCGCAAAACGAATATCGAAACAAACACATATATTGGAACAACAAAGTGACGGATCGATCTTGTACCTAACGACACCCACCCAAACCAACGAGCAGCTCGGACAAGCACCATGACAGAGGGACCTTCCCCCGCAGACGAGGCAGAGGCGCGCGCCCTCGAGCAGGCTCGCATTCGCAAGGAGCGACGCGAGGCTAAGATCAGGGCCAATGCCGGAAATCGTCTAAATAAGATCACCGGATTGGGAGGCGGTATTGAAAGAGGTCAGTGTTTTCCGTCCATCCATCTTGTGCCCTAGCATAGTATTATATCATGTAAATGGCATTAAACCAAAGCTGACATTGGTCTTCTCTTTAGACCCTCCTCCTACGCAGCCAGCCACCAGCAGCAGCAACGATGACAAGACATCACCAGTCCCGACCTCCAGCTCCGCACCCCGAGTTCACGCCGACCCCGAAGAGGTCGACATCTCCACCTCTGAACACTTCTACCAACCAAACACCACCCCAAGAATTCCCAAGCTGCCACAGCCTACACAAGGTCCTTCTCCCTTCGACCCGAACGACCTCTCCGAAGAGAGCCTGCGCCAGATGATGCTCGGCCGCGAATCCCCCATGGTTCCAGGTGCCGCCGGCGGCGACCCCTTTGCCAGCCTACTGGGAGCAGGGCCAGGCGGTCCGGGCGGTCCGGGCGCTGAGGACCCGATGATGCAAATGATGCTCAACATGCTTGGCGGAGGTGGAGCTCCCGGTTCCGGTGCCGGTGGTATGCCACCTTTTCCAGGAGGAGGGTTCCCCGGCATGCCCGGTATGGGCGGCATGATGCCTCCTGGAATGGGCATGGGTCAGCAAGGAGTCCCGCCGGCCATGGCCGTTCCCGACCGGTACTCCTCCCTGTGGCGCCTGCTGCACACAGCCGTGGCGCTCGGTCTCGGTCTCTACATTGCGCTGTGGACTTCGTTCAGCGGCAGCAAGGTCGACAGGGACAGCAAGAACATCCTTACTGGCAACAACCATCACCACGTGGGCGCGGGGGACCAGGTGGCTGTGGGCTTCGATACGGATTCGGCGAGACGGTTTTTCTACGTGTTTGCTACGGCTGAGGCGCTGCTGCTGACGACGCGCTTCTTTCTGGAAAAGGGTTTGGGAAAGAGTCCCGTGGGCGGCGCTTTTGGTGGTGGTATGCTGGGTATGGCTGTGGGTTTCTTGCCGCAGCCGTGGAAGGGTTATTTGGAGATTGCGATGAGGTATGGACAGATATTCAGCACGGTCAAGGCGGATATTCTCGTTTGTATCTTTGTGCTTGGGGTTTGCTCATGGTGGAGGTCGTAGTTCCCTATCACAGAGGGAGAAGATGGCTGAGAATGTTTACTGCAACGGCTTACGGGCGTAATGAATGGGTCAAAAAGGGGGTAACTGAGCACGCTTTTAATGGCATGGAATATAGTAATGAAAACAAAAGGAACATGAGTGTACGCCGTCACGACATGAGTGTCCCATCGCATTTGTCTGGTTGAAATGACAAGGCCTTGAGCTTGAAGATAGCTGGCAAGACATTCCTCAATTTCTCACACAGAGTACTTACATTCCCATCGCCGTCAAACGTCAACTCGCCAGTTACCTAACAGGTGAGGTATCGTCTCGATTTGTTTCGAAACCCAAACCCAAAAGCCCTTCCATGTTGCCTATAGGTACACAAGTATCCAAAGTGTTCCCCACATCCTCCGCTCTCCTTTCTGCGCCCGCAATCATCTGTGGAATCTAGCATTTCCTTTAAATTAACCAAATCTTCCCTTTCATCCTAATTCCATTCCAGGGGCACCAGAACAGCCAGTCGCCTTACCTCACCACCTTGCCACCACCACCACCAATCTCTTGAACCCTTCACTTTCTTCTACACCCCCTCCCACTACCTTCTTCCACCTTTTCATAAACCGTGATAAGAAAGCGGTCACAGTAAGCGCCGAGTCCGTAGCAGTCGATGCAAATGACGACGGATAGGGCCGAAACTACAAAGTCGATGCCCCACCAGCCTCAAAAGAAACAGTGGCGAAACTAGAGGGGGAGAGTTTCAGAGGAAGAGGATGAGGACGAGGAGAAGAGGGACAGACTTTTGTAGTTGTTGTAGGTTGGCCCGAAGAGAAGAAGTGTCTTTGGCGAAAAGAGGAGGGCAAGGGCCGAAAGTGATAAAGAGACAGAGGACGGAGAGGAGGATGAGGGGTGTCGGGGTAGAGCCTGCTGTTACGTAGCATTATTCTCGGTGAGGGCTTGGATGTTAGCTTGTGATGTTTGTTGGTTTGGGTTGTTGGTTGTGTGATCTGGTCGTAGTTTGGTTACTGGGAGTGTCGACTGGTCTGTGAGTGGTGATGAGACTTCTATTGGAAGTGTTGTAGGAGAGAAACAGTTCGAATATTCAAGACTTGCGAGGCTTCCAAGAGCCTGATAATCTCGTGTGACTGAGTTTGCTTGGTATGTTCTGTAGAAAGAGAGAGAGTGTTGAATACGTGAGTCATATCATATCGTGCGGAAACGACTTTGTCTATTTTTCCTACTCGATGCTTGTTTCAGCAAGTAACCATAAACGGAGGAGAGCGAGCTGTTTGAGACAGTATGCTGTTCCGAACTCGCTCTTTCGAGTTTGGTCGAGTAAAGGAGTGCAGAGGTTGAGTAGATCAGAAACTTCAAAGCTTTCTTGTATCGCGGTGGCAGTAACTTGGTCTTAAAGCAAAGTGTATGATGAATGAGGAGAAGAAGAAAGAGGGGAATGTACTGAGAGAGGGTCTGCTCCCTCATTATCACCGACAACCTCCATGGAGTTACGCGCTTGAAAACGATGGCGGATACATACATGTACACTATACATTATGTCGACTTCGATCCAGTTCAGTAATTTGGTAATTGCAAAGTTCCTGCAGTAAGATGCCACGAAAAGAACCATGCGTGATGTTGAACGGGACCTTGGGAAAGTGGTTTGGGTGATTCGTGGACTTCGCCGTCGATGTAGCACAGTCGAGCATATGTGAACGTAGTAGAGCATGTTCAAAACCATTCATTGATACATATTTTTGAATCCGGGTATCGTGACCAGGAGCTTCACTATCTTGGAGTGCTCATCCGATCTTGTTGAAAGGCCTTGCAAAAGTCGGCAGCAAAGACATTACCGGGCACCCAAAGACTGAGTATCCCGACTACACTCTCGATGTGATCGGCTGGGTCATCATCGCAGTATGCGATATGTAGATTCATCACTGTCGAGCGTCTTCCCAGTTCCCCTTGTCGATGTTCGAAGAAGGCATTGCCACTGCAACTTTTCTGCCTCACGGCTTCAAAACACCCGCCAAAACCCCTCCAAGAACACCCCTCACCCTCTTCGGATTTTCCAACGCACACGTAAAGACAACCGCTGTACTGGCAGCGAACACCGCCGTCTCCCTCCACTGCTTCCGCAAGTCATATCTCCTCGGGAACAACGTAGCCAGTGCTCTTGGTGCGACAAACAGCGCCATATCCTTCCTCCTCCCCGCGTTCTCCAGCAAGATGCTCCATCCGCACAGAGCACACCCAGTACCAACACAAAGCCCGCCATCCATCTTTTGACAACTCTTTACGTCTCTTCCCACAATGTACGGCCCGAGTCTCGTGCGAGCTAGACACACGCCGTAATAGAACAGAGTGATGAAGACGCCCAGAAAAGCCGACGACCCACACGCCGAGACCAGCGCCTTCTTCAACGCCTTCCAGTTCGGCTTGCGTAGCACGAGCAGCAAGTTGAGCGGCAGGTACATGGTAAAGGCCCACTTGAACGAGCGGGCGAACCTCGACAGGCCGTGCCGCTCGCAGCTCGGGCCGCAGCCCATATGGACGATCTCGCAGGGGAAGGGCACGGCCTCGGCCGGGTCACCCCATGCCTCAGGCCAACCGTAGTCCTTGCACATACTGCCCAGCAGCGGGGCCTGGCCCGTGTCCTTACCGTACACGAGGGATCCGGCCCGACACCGGCGGAGAGCCTCAATCAGGCGGCTGTCGACGGAAGCGGCGGAGGTGATCCACTTGTTGTAGGCCCGTGGAAGGCGCGAGGGGTGGTAGAACCAGGTCCACATGATAAGAGCGCTGGAAAGGGCGAAGATGGCCGGGTCGGTAAGGCGGGATATGAGGGATTCGACGAGTCTACTACTGGCGGTGGTGGAGGGGGAGCCATGGCGACGGGCCTTGTAGTGGGACCAGAGCTCCCCAAAAATCACGTCAAGGGCGCGAGTGACGGCGAAAAGGGTCAGGTCCAAGGTTCGGCCAGCGTAGTGTACTGTCCTTATGGGTTGTTTCGGAGATACTTCTTGTCTTTGAGCGGGAACGGCATCTGATGTGGGTAAAGGTGTTCCAACATTTATGACTGTGGGTGAGGATATGGTCTCGGTAAAACCTGGAGTCCGCTTTGACTGTAAGAGCTTAATACCGAGCCATGCCGCGATGAAGGAGGCAAACGACCTTGAAAGTCTGCAATGGTCAAGTGTCAATAACACGTCCTTGATGGATGGTGATCGGATACTTGCCGTTTTCGTGTGACATGGGACAATGTAGCGGCCAAACGATTGAGTATAGTCTTGAAGAAAACCTAGGGCCAGGAGTGAGTACCGATACTGTAACTCGTACAGAAAGTCAGAACATACCTCGAGTAACGTGCTACCACCGGCCAGGACTGCGCAAAAGGTAGGAAAGCGGTGCCAGTCCATACCACCGCGTAGTATGTTTACAAAGGACTCGACAAACCCATCCTGTTGTTTCTTCCCGGCCTTCCACCTGAGGGCATGCTTGGAAATCAAAGTGAACAATCTCGGGGCAACCGAAGACACATAGCCCAACAGATAGGCGCGCACGAGAGGCCGTAATAATGGAGGGATGCGACTTTCGATCCTCTTCCAGCCCTTTGAGTTTGGAGCTAACCGGGCTGTGGGAAGCTGGAGGCGCAAGGATGATGGGAGCCCAGTTGCAGCAGGAGATAGTGGGCTCTGAGACGGGTGGCTCATGGCGGCACAGTAACATGTACAGTGAAGCTGTGTAAAATAGGAGAATAACGTCTATGAGGCTGTATTACAAAATTAGCCTGGTGCGGACTTCTCCATTGCGGCTTGATTGCGTAGATGTCAAAGTGCTCAGGTATTTACTCTGTGCTCAGTGTTGGCAGGGACCCCGATGAGTCCAGTCGATGTTACTCGAGGTGTGATGTTGAATAAGCTTGAGCTAAACTAACCTAGGTCATGAGCCTCGGTAGAGCCAAATCTAGAAGTCCAAGACGGATGGATAGTTGGTTTACCCCCCCGAAAATCGAATGTGTGAAGCGGGTAACAACAAGGATGAATATCAACAACAACAACAACATCGACATGTGAAGAGAAAGCACACGACCACTGGATGTCGTCACGCCGTGGCGGCACCGTCCGTGGCTCGCCTGAAAAAAGCAAAGGGTGGATTCCCGACGTGGAATTGCCTAGGCTCGGGGGACGGTTCTGGAACTGTTTTAGGTGCCGACGAACAAAGAGACGATCTTGATGATGCTGCGACAGACACTACCGAACGGGCAGAGTGCCCGGTCTGGATTACACTAGTGTGGTGTCTCTGTCCGTGATGTGGCCGACGCCATGGACCGGCGACCGGGCTATGTATTTTCAGAGGCGGGAGACCACCGAAGAGACATGTCCTCGCGAGGTGAAACGCGCCTCACTCTGTCATTGGAGTTTGATTCGGAAGACAGGAAGGACTGAATGAAATTCGCATACTAATGATCACCTTTGGGAAGTTGGGCCCGTTTGGTGTTGCTGTGGGTGCTGCGGCGGGGCGGTAGTAGCGTACCTTGGCGCGCTACAAAATAATGCGGGGACACCCTGTTGCCGGGCCACTGAAATGCTTGGGATCCACAATCTCGAATTGGATCACGCAAAAAATACCTTTTCATCGCTTCCATTTGTGTATAGTTTGAGGAACACATCAAAGCCATTGGAGGCAGCTTCTCCGACCACGGAACGAGGCCCTGAATTCTCCCGCTATGCGAGTGCTAGGGCTGGGACTCGAGACTCTCATAACATGATTAGTACCTGCTACATATCAACCTGTCATGATGTCTCTTGTTGATCTGGGGACCAATCAATAAGTCCGGGGTTCAGACAGAAGGAAAGTAGTGTAGGGGGAAATTTGGCGGGGTAGCGCACAAAACCCGCCCCGTGCGAGATATTGCATGTGATTGATGAGATCGGACTTCGTTGGGAACTCTCCTTCTGCTTGTGTATACTACCTCTCGTGACCTCAACAAGCTCTGCCCACGATCAACGACGAATTGCTGTGGACAGGCGCTAGTATACTCATGAAGAGAATTTGCACACCTCTCCTCTTATTGACCATTACCTATGATAGCTGGTGAGCCAAACAAAGGCAGAGAGAAAGATGGAAAAAGGTCACCTTCGGGAATAACTTGAAGGGAACTTGAAAGCACCCCCGCTGGTCCCCACCAAACAGCCATCAAAAACTAACCCAAATGGTGAAGGTAGGCATTGAAGTTCTATGCTGCCTACTAATCCGACAGTTGAAGTTCGTTAATTCGGTACTTACAATACTCGCCCCCATGCAAGCGTGAGCTGGTACCAGCCTAACAGAACCTCGAGGTGCTCATCACGGGCTGGACCTTTGACATGGAGCCTCCACTTCCATCGTTGTAGCGGGAGCCAGGAACGGGCAGCCGAGCGATGACTGAAGCCACAAGGGAAGCCAGGGGGAAGGAAGCTTGTGAAGAGAGAAATTCGAGCACGGAGCCTTTCCATGATGCAGAAATGGGTGTTTTTAAATTACACTAGTATACCTAGTACCTAGCCGCTTTCCAGATCAGATCCCCCACAAGAACCCAAACCGCCCCAATCCCAGTTCTTGATTTGTCTGAACTAACAACACCTGACGTCCTGTCCGCCTGGCCTCAGCTTCTACACCAACAGACCTACCTACATCTAGGTTGGCTGCCATACCTCTGCTCTACATATACCTACAGTGCTACATCAATTACTACGTTCGGTTTCCAAGTTTGTCCCTACATCCGGCATTTAGCGGCTTGTTTTCATTTCGCCTTGTGCCTTTCACTCCAAGCTCCGCCTTGAAATCTTCGCATTTTCTTCCAAACAGCGACCAAGCTTCTCGGCCTGGAAACACGTGCTCGAGACTGGAGTTTAGCGCACCCAGCCGAGTTCCTTGTCACGTTCGAACATTTCGGCCTACCAACATCATCTGATCGGCCCGGTACATCGAGGTACCTCTCCCGACGACAACGGCCCGTCTTTCACGTGCCTCGAAACCGACTGCGGAGCCGGCCACTCACGTCAACACCACAACCTCACCTCACCTAGCCGGTGGCGGCACATCATCGAACCGCAACGCACCCGCCGAGGCCGCGTCCCTCCAAGCTCCCGGCCACCGGCCCCACGACGATTCCCGGGTCCCCTCAGCGGGTCTCCGGCAGCCGTTCCCCCGTTCTCGGCTATCCCGCCGCTGTCAGCCTCATCGGCCTCTTGCCGTCCCAGCGGTCGGGGTCTTGGATATCTCTTCGTTTCCCGGCTAGGCCGGATGTACGTGCTGGACTTGTAAACATTGCAAATGTGCTATTGCCTGGCATGCCCCGATAGTCCGAGTACAAGCCTGCGGCGACAAACCCAATCTAGTGTCTAATCCGCTGAACCAGCCGCAACACTTGCCAAATTCTTTACATACGTCATCGTGCCTCTCATGACACAACGGCAACTTCATACAGCCTCGCGTCATCCCTCACTCCAGCTTTTGTCACATCAGCTACTGCCTGCTGGTCCTGCCTCTGCCGACATGCCGCCGCCGCCGCCGCTACATCATCAAGAGCCGCCGACGCCTGACCAGCCTCAGCCAGTGTTCGGTTGTAAGTCCACTCACCCCCCCCTTTAGTATGTGTTTTTCAATCAAATATCTTACAAACTGGCCTTGACGGTCTCTCGCAGACTTGCCCCAGAACGTAGCACAGCCACCGGCACCCCTCGCCACTCTTCTCACGGACGACCAATCCAGATATCTTGACAGCTTTTTCCAAAACCTGAATGATGCTGCAGCTGATGACCCTTTCCTAATATCACCAGACTTCGAGGAAGAAGGCTTAGCTTTTACTTCAGAATGGAATACGCGGCCGGGAAACCTTGTTGGATCAAATACTTCGTTCGCTCCTTTCGCCCGCACCAACTTCAACACTGGCTTCAGTGATTTGTCAAGTGTACATAGCTTTGGGGGTCCATCATTCAATCACCAGCTCCAAGCGCCGCCACGGGCAACGGACGGTATCCATGATCTCCTAAATGCCGCTGCCGCTCTCCCTAACGAGGTAGGCGGCCATGGAGGGAACACTTTCGAGCAAAGTTACGGGGGTAGCAGTACTTCTGGGGGGCAACATGGCATTCAACAGACAGACAATAGCTTCGGCGGTGCGGCCATCGCCTTGGCCATGCGCCCTTACGCGTCCATTAGCGAGCCTTCCAATAACTTCTACCGCGACATGATCTTCCAACAGCCAGGGCAGTCGCAGCAACCCCGCCAAAACAGCTACCAGCATGGGCAGCCGGTAAGGATCCAATTCGGTACCGACACCAGCTTCTCCCAGTCAACATTCACACCCCAGAGGACGCAGGAGAGCTCCGAGGTCATGAGCCAAGCACAACTGAAGGTACTGGATTGTCTGGTACCCAGCCAAAGCGCCGCCACAACGCGTGCCTCCAGTCCTGTAACGCAGGGGCAGGGGCGAGGGAACGAGCACCACGGGTCATTCTCACCGCCCAAGCTACGAACACATCATCGCCCGTCCTTACCTCAGGCACTTGCCTCCATACAAGAGGAAGGAGGACCGCCCAAAAAGAGAAGGGCAACAGTGGACAACACCACTAACAACGATGCCGCGATGGCATCACCCGGCCCGCTGGCTACCTTTTCCAACAGCCCCTACAGCCCGTTTTCCCAATCCGGGTTTGCCCCTTCCTCTCCCATGACGTCGCTAGGTGGTAGAAAGTCAGCGGGTCCAGGAGGAGCAAAGGGGAAGAAACTCTCACGCCAACAAGGACTTCCATCTCCCAATACAGTATCAGAACCCACAGACTCCCAAGCCCCGAGTGGTGACACACGATCACCAAACGATGACGAAGATAACAAGCCCGCTCGACCGGGCAAGAGGCGTCGCTCCTATAAAGAAAAGAAGCCCAACCTGACGCTGGAACAAAAGAGGCTGAACCACATCGACAGCGAGAAGAGGCGGCGGTATATGATCAAGTCAGCCTACGATAATCTGTCGATTATTATACCGGGGTACAAGGAGGCTGGTGTTAGCAAAGCGGGAGGGATACAGTTAGCCGTGGATTTCTTGAAGAAGATAATGGAGGAAAACGAGGAGTTGAAGGAGAGATTGGAGCGAGCGAGGGAAAAGGCTGGGGTTAAAAGTACTGGGACAGATGTTGAAATGACAGAAAGGGGGATACAAACTGGGCAGGAAGGGGGAGATAACGGTGCTGAGGAACAATGATGACATACGGTAGCCAAGCCGTAGTGTTTGACCTTGGATATGTTGGTACATCACTTGCGCATTTACGAGCCATGCCTTTGTGATTAACCATGCATAAAGTGCCGACAATAGGACATCTAGGTAGCTGGGGTGAGGCTACTCCATTGGTTGCTTTGGTGAACGGCAGTCTGCATCTACCATTTGCTGGGTGGACTATGCCGAGGGTTTATCCAACCTCGAAAGAACCTAGACACAACAAAACTTGCAAAGGATGCGTAAGGGCCTTCACTTCACATTTCGAGGTGCAAAAGCAAGAAAAAGAGTTGTACGGTAAGTGGAATCGTCTCTGATGGCTCCCACAAAAGCTCGCTCAAGCACACTCCGCGGCTGTAAATGCGCAAATGAACGCTGTAGGTAGGAAGAGCGGCTCTGCGGATAAGCGCAATTTCCTGAACGAGCCGCATCCTGATCATTTTGCCACTCCCTGGCAATCGCAGTATCACATGGCGAGTATAATAAAGGGTGTCAACCAAATTCCCGTCTCATTCTGCCCATGGACCAGCCGAGGGACACAAACGCCTTGAACATATTGTCCTGACTACCTTGCATTGCCAGGACGTCTTTCTTCCAAGTTAAGGCAGCGCAATCTCGTCGAGGTTTCATCCCCTGTACCTATTCTTGTAAACCCCTTCCATTTCACATGTTCATGCATTCTCCCCATCACAATCCCTCTCATTGCCTCGCTTGGACCTCCCCCGTCCAAATCCTCTTCCTGATCCGTTTACCCTCTTACCCCGAACCCTCTCTACCATACCCCCTTCGACAAGATCACCCACAAATAGACCACTCCCAAGCCCCCCGCCCCCCCTTAGACCTCATTCTACCACCTAAGCACCCTTATACCCATACCTCAACCCGCCCAACTCCCCCTCCGGATCAACCCCCGCCATAACCACCTTAGCCGCCACTGTCGCCGCATATATCACCCCCGGCAACGCCGCGAGATATACCTTTCCCACAGCATTTCCTCCCTGGGCCCCACCAGTGACAAGACCAGTCAACAGCACCAATACACACAACCCTACGTTTAAATACGGTAACCACGTCTCCAACGGCGAGGGTGTAAGAACGCCAGCACCGTACTGATTGGGAAGCCTCTTATTTTTCTTCTTCGTAGTGGCTGAAGAAGAAGAAGAAGCCAGAGAGTCGACAATGGATAGTCCAGTCTTGGTAGGAGGTAGTTTGACCGTGATGAACGTCGTGGCGGCTAGGGAGGTAAGAGCGAGGAGGGAGAAGATTACTGATGTTTTGGTTGATGTTTTTGTTTGTCCATGTAAAGGGGAATGGGAAGGAGAAGAGGAAGAGGAAGAAGGCGACAAGAAAAGGACGAGGAGGTAAGGAACTGAAGCGATGGCGGGAATGAGCAAGAGGAGAGAGCGGAATTGGGAGTTGCGTTGGGAGTTTTGGGTGGTGAGGGTTGTGATGAGGGATTCTTGTTCTGTTCATTGAGAGTCTTTTGTTTAGTACTTGGACATGATGAATTGTGACGAGGGTGAGGATTGGGATGTGAGAAGAGGGTGATCGGGATGGGTTGAGTATGTGTAGGTACGTAGGAGGGGAATACATATGAGTGAGGGTTGATTCAGTGTATAGGTAGGTTGACAAAAAAAAGAACGTGGGTTTTCAGATGCAACAAAATATTTGACAGGAGAGAGGAGCACAAGACAGAAACATGATAAGCACATACCTTGCTCGTCCATAACCTCGAGCGCATTTTCGTCATCGGCCTCATCCTCACTCGGGTACCGAAACGTCTTGCGAAGGCGCGCGGATGCGCCGCGGCGATGGGATCGAAAGCCGCTGTCCATCCGTCCTACCTATGTCCTTGAATAGCGAAACAAGGCGTTAGTTAATTCAGACTCTGGTATACTCTCCTTTATGAAACGAGTCAAATAATTAACGAACGAGTTGACGTTGAACTGGAGGAGAAGAGAATGTCTTGGCATCGAACGAATGAGAACTCCAGGCAAGTAATGACGGAATTACGTTCAGGGTTATGTGTGTGTATTTGCGTACCGGTAAGTTACATCCATGAGCGGAGTGGTAATTAACAATTCTCGTTAAAAACGGTCCGATCTCCTGAAACTCTCTCCCGACTGCAGCCCAAGAACTCAGGGGTAAACGGCCCGGTGTAAACAATGACACTGGTGAGGCTGGTGAATACGGCTATATTGGAGTCTCTTTCCCAAAAGACGACCCTGGTTTTAACCTGCTTTGAAGAGATGCGGACTCATCAACGACTCTGCCACACTCCGTGTTCATGGGAAAGGAAACCATTTGGTAAATGCCCGAGTGTCTGTCCGACGACACAAACAACATGGGATTGGCTATCTGAAGGCTGTTTCTGTCCTAGAGAGCCAAACTCTATGCCTCTTGGTAGTTTTTCCCCGAACCTCCAGTCTATGCACGTCCAGCTTCCACCTTTCCGAAGTCATCACGTCATAAACGCACTCGGCCAGAGTAGACGTGCAGAAAGCTGTTCTTGATGGAGGTATAGAATCACGAAAATGAACGCCGCGAGTGAAATCGATTGACCGCAAATGATGACCCTGAATGCAGAAGTTTTCCGAATGATCTCTATCCACCCAACTCCTCACAAACCACTCACGGTTCCCGGCGAGTAGGTGTGCAATTGCTGGTCGACCCTTTCACTCTTTCTCGTGAAGACTTAAGAGTACATGTCGTGCCCATGCTGTTTTATGCCTGTTGTTCAGGCAACCCAAGATTGAGAGAGATTATTCCGCCTTCCGACATTTACGAGGGAGGGGCCTCACCACGGCCGGCGCGGCCACGACCGAAACCACCACGGCTATTGGGAGACAAATGTTAGTCTATCTGAAACATTCGCCAGAAAAGAGGAACCTTGACGGCCTAGACAGCGGGAGCAACTTACAACTGGGGAGCGAACTCGCCGGGGGCACCACCCTCCTTACCCTCACCAGCCTCACGGCGGCGGTAGCCGCCCTCGCGGTCACCACGGCCACGGCCACCGAAGGGGCGCTCGCGGCGCTCCTCACCGCCGAGCATGCCACGGGGGGGAGCGTGAGACCGCTGGGACTTGATGTGGGTAGCGGGGACGATCTCAGCGGGGAGGTGGAGCCACTCGCGGAGGTAGTCGAGACCCTCGGGGGTGAGGGTGTAGTAGTAGTACTGCCACGAGAACTGGGTCTTGACGTAGCCGCGCGAGGTCAAAGACTGGCAAGCCTTGATGACATAAAGGTTGCGGATGCCGGTCTCGTGGGTCGACTCATAGCTAAACGGGTGTCACGAATTAGCATGTGTTATTCGTTTCGCGTTGGCGGGTGTCCACGGCGGACAGAGGGCGAGTTCGTGCTGGCGTCTGTTTCTGTGTCTGCGCCGATTTGGGTCGATGTCGCGATAGCGGGCTGGAGTTCGTTTGATATGTTCGTCGTAAGGCATAATCGGTCGACAGCAGAAATGGCGGACGGCGACGAAACCCCACCCCCTCCCATCCAAAATACGTGCGAATCGAACGGTTCAAGGCTGGACGTGTGTGTATCTTTGACTGGAATTTCGGGTGGAAACCTACTTCTTCTCAGCGACCATGACGCCCTCACGGAAGAGGTACTACATTAAAATGGTCAGCATAACGTTCTGGCTTCCACTTTCAACTTGACGGCCCCCCAGCAATCATTTGCACGCCCTCGTTTCCGTCTCCAACAATGTCCACTCTCCTTCCATTTTCAATGTCTGGCCGTCATAAAAAATCGACTTCGCATACCTCATGGATCGCCTTGCGGTCAGCCTTGGGAATAAGCATTTTGACGAGATGACCGGTGTCGACACAATTGGTGGTGTTGGTCCGGGGAAAGTGTCGGCGTTGCGGGAGTCGAGAGCTCAAAATTCGAGATCTAAGTGATTTGTGGGCTGCGTGCCGAAATTCCAATGCCATAGTAGGGTTGCGAAACTAGCGGGGCGGCACCGCCACACTCTCAGGAGTCTTGGCGCCTCACCGCCCTGTCCGACCTGGGTCAAGTCCGCAGATAAGGCTGGACCGTGTGGCTTGCCCCATCTGTCAGCGGCCATGACGGTTCTCCAAATTGGCGTCGCAGAGGCGAAGTTCATCTCCAAAACGACTTCCCTTCCGAGTGCAACAAAGCAAAATCAATCCCGACGTTTCCAACGAACCGTCTCAGACGAATTTCCGGCCTGGCACTCTGATATTTCTCCGGTAGCGGTTGTTCAGCGTCATTGACGATCAAGACTTCGATAAGCACATCGTCGCTCCACAGCGCAGGGAGGCTGCGTTCATCTGCCATCATCGACATCACGCCGTGGATCAAAGCATTAAACCTACAACCCAGTGCATCAACGCCAACACAATTGCCTACGATCTAAAAGTCTGCCGGCACCTTTGTCGTTATCATCGGAATGGATCCTACCAACACCATCAACGTCCTCATTACCAGTATAGCCGGCACCGGCCTCCCACCCACTCTAACCTTCGCCCTCCCCGCCACAACAACCGTCACTGAGCTGCGCGACCGGCTCCTCTCCCGGTTGCCTGGCTCCCTGGAATCAGCTGCCACCTTCCGCTTTCTCCTTACCACCAATTCCAACAAACAACTCCCTTCCTCCTCCACTCAGGCCCTCTCCTCCCTCCTGCCAGGTCTCGAAAACAATGACTTTCTCCCCCTCCGCCTCTCCCTCCCGCTCTGCGGCGGCAAAGGCGGTTTCGGTTCTCAGCTTCGCGCCCAAGGCGGGCGCATGTCTTCAAAACGCAAGAAAAACGGCTTGCAAGGGGAAGACAACGGATCCTCGCGTAACCTAGATGGACGACGTTTGCGGACCATCACAGAGGCCAAGGCGTTGGCCGATTACCTGGCCATCAAACCCGACATGGAGAAAAAAGAAAAAGAGAAGCGAAGGAAGCGGTGGCAGCAAATTGTAGAGCAGACGGAAAAGCGGCAGGAGGAGATCAGGCATGGGAAGGCAGGAGGTGGGGGATTCATGTTGGATGGTAAGTGGGTGGAGGATAAGGAGGAGCTGGATGAGAGAACGAGGGAGGCGGTTATGACGGCTCTGAAGAAGGGCGCGTACACGGATAATCTGTCGATGTTGGCGGCTACGGCGGCTGCGGCGAATGCAGCGAATCCTGGGGAGGGCGGTTCGGCGAGTGGGAGTGGGTCGTCTTCGGGTGGTGAAGCGATGAGTGAGGATGAAAAGGAGAGTGAGCGGGATGGTGCGGCTACACCACCATCGGAGCCGGAGCCGGAACCGAAGATGGTGGTGGACAAGGAAAAGCTTAAAGGCAAAGAGAAGGAAACGGTGCAGCCAAAGGCGCAGATCAAGACCTTCGCTGGCTTTGATGACGATGATGAGTTTATGAGCTCTGATGATGAGTGAGAGTTCGATGGAAGATATCATAGACTCATGGAGATCTCGGTGGTGTAAGTTGGGATGTAACGGGTGAACCTGACTCTCTTGACTGCCTCGGGAAGACAACTCATATATGGCGTTATCGGGAGTTTGGTTTTGTTTAGATTGTCTCATCATGAGTAGCGAATAGGGATAAAGGGGGTTTTCATGATACCACATACTATACATATAGGCCACATCATACAAAGCCTAGTGAAATACCGAATTTAGTTCAATGAAGGAGCTCTGATCCGATTCATTTTTTATTTTGATGACATCACTTCAGCAAGATTCAACGGGAAACCTTCGTTGCGCCAACCCCAACATACTCTCTATGTGCATTCCCCAATACTACCAAGAGCTTTCTAATACAACTAGGTTTGATGTAGGGTGAAGTGAGTCCTGATAGGTGGTTGACTTTTGTCATCATCCACCCACCTATTCCTGTCGCGTCATACAAGCATTTCAGGGGTATTTACTCCAGCTTGACGGGGAAGTTGCCAGCCTCTGTAAGAAGTTGTCAGTGAACATGCCCTTTATCGGCCCTTTCCTAGCAGTGAATAAAGGATTGTTTCCCCGTTACGTACCACGCTGCTCGTCCCATCTCTGGTACCAGCCGCTGGGGCAGAGAGAGCGGTAGGCGAGCCAGAACTAATAAACAGCGAGGTGTCAGTCAGCATTCGGGTCCCTTTTCGTTTCGTAGCTTTGTCGTCCTCGGTCTGGCTTTGTATCCCATCCGGTCCCCACGTTTCCCCTTTCTCTTTCTCATCCGGCAAAGCAACAGCTGACGGCAGTGGTGAAATTAGTGGTGGTGGTGCGGCTAACCTGGCGGCAGGGAGCGAAGTCCTCGCCCTTGGCGAGAATGCACTTGTGGTAATCGACGTAGTTTTGCCAGCAGTGCTTGGTCTGGTTGACGTTGGGGAAACGGGCGTCGACACCTAATAGTTTTTGAAAAAACACGCAATACGTCAGAACACAGGTTTTTCTTTTTTTGGCGATTTCTCTTTGGTGCTGGTATCGATGGCTCTGCTCGCTCGCTCGTGATCCGCATCCGCAAAGCTAGCAGCTGCTGGCATGGAGAAGGGGTGTTTGCCCCGTGCCGCGCAAAGTTCGATGTTCGGGGTCTCCACAATGCACTCCTCTTCTTCCCCCGTGCCAAAAGAGCTTGAGCTTATCTTCAACCGGGGTATATCGGGGATTCCGGCGACATCGCGAGTGAAGCATTTGAAGGCTTGCTGCCGATCTTCGGCAAATTCGGCGGAGGAGCTAAATGTGTTTGAAAAGCAAAAGTAAGGGTTGTTGCATACCGGCTGCGACGTGCGTTTGTTAGCAATGAAATTCCGGCCCGGCGCAATGAGGTCACGGCATGATTTTTTGCCGAGGGAATTTAGATCTTTGCTTGGGGGAGCAGAGGTCCAATTCTCAGGGACTAAACCTGTACGTACCAGTGACGAACTTGAAGGGCTTGGTAACGCGCTCGTCGTCGGACATGTTGGCGGTGGTTTGCGGTGGTGGTCGCGGGGGTGGTGGTGTCTGGGAGTTGGTGTTGAGGCGGAAGCTCAATGGCTTGTGGGATTGGACCAGGTGCGGGTGTTGACGGGGACGTGGAAGAGCAGAGCTGCTGTGAGATTCTGACCTTTGCGGCGATGATGAGGCGAGGTGAGCCGAGTGGATCGATTCCACAGCACGGGTGCTAGCTTTTGGTAGCTCTGACGAATTGCAGTCAGTGCACTGTCCTCCTTCCCCGTCCAGGCAGTGCCAGGCAATGCACCTTCTGAAAGCCAGAACTTCGTCCGCTGTAGAGACTGCCTCGATCCGGAAGCCTGAGGCACCAACTTTCGCGGCACCTCAGCACTCATGCAGCGTCTTGGCAATCCCCGAATGGTGACGGCACTCCGACGGGCGATGATTCCTCGACCGAATCCGGGGACAGCTGGACGCCAGCTGCGGTGAGCTGACCTCACCTAACAGCAGGTGGAACCCCCCCGGCTGGTGTCCGTGCAGCCGAACGAAGCTCAACGCTCGAACTCCCGCATCTTGATTTGAGGCAAAGAAAGAGCCAAAAGTTCAATTGCCAACCTCGATCGCAAAAGCTGCTCTCTTCGTCCACCGCGGTAGCGCAACACCATCCCTCAAGACAAATCTCCACTCAATTCCACGCCGGCAAGATGTTCGCCTCCCGTGTCGCCCGCCAGGCTTTCCGCCAGACCCCCCGCATGATGCGCCCCATTCCCGTAAGAGCTATACCCGGTCTCGAGTCCGCGACTTTTCCGAAGCTTTGGGAGGTGCCATTGCGTCAGAGTTACTAACCATGGGATTTTTCTGTCTCGCTATAGAAGGAGGAGCAGGCCGGTACGTGAACGAACAACCCAACCGTTGCATTCTACGACAACAAAAGCTATCACACAATTTCCCGGAGCTTCAGGAGCATTTACCCCAGTTGGCAATGGAGATGGAGGGTTTCAAAATAATTGCGCGAGGGGGGGATATCCGCGACTGACAACGTCATTTACGGTACAGCCCACACCGTCTCCCAGCGCCTCCGCATGCGCATCAAGACCATTCCCGCTGAGTTGTGGCCTCTCGGTAAGCTTGCACCAAGCTATTATACATATGGATGCCATCCTGGATCGAGTGCTGATAAGGGGGGGAATTGTTTGACTGAGTAGGTGTTGTCGTCGGTTTCGCCGTCAGCGCTGCCATCTACTCCATTACTCGCCACCTTGTCGTTGACAAGACCATCCGTCTCAAGCGCCAGAACCGTGCTGCCGATTCGCACGCTCTCCACGCTGCTCACGAAGAGAAGCACTAAACGAACAACCAGGGATTTTTGTGCATGGGGCGTATGTTCGATAAGGGAACGAGGAAAGTGTCCCCGAGAAAGGTTGCCTCCTTTTTTTTTGCGTAGCATTGTACATGATGACCAGGAATCAACACGGTTAATCCTACAAAAGAGTTGAATGCGGTCAGACGGGTGATGGCTGTCATTTCTGTCCAAGTGAGGGCTCCCGAAGTGGTGTCCAAGTGACCTTGTCGATTTTGATGTCAAATGGTAAAAAAGAAGCAACAGAATGTGATACACTTTCCAAAAAAATACACCCAAGTCCCAATGATGCCATTTAACGCCGTAGCCATGCAATGCTTCTCTTTCCGGGTATCAACACAGAAACTCGCTTCTCCCCCCCCCCCCCCCCCCCCCCCCCCGACCCTCGCCGGGGAGAGTCCATTTGCTGAAGACGGACCAAGCAATGACCGATTCTATTGCGGTTTCGGTCCAGCCACATCTAGTCCCTCGAGGCCCTGCATAGGGTCATCAGGCGCAGTAGCAGCCAAACGATCCTCCTCACTGACGGCATTCTCAGCCAGCCATCCTTCCTGTGAGCCAGCGCATTAGTATGAGTCTAGGTATCAACTGTGATTCCCGAGCATCCCCCGTAGACGAAACTCACTTGCTCCCAAACGGCAGTCTTGGATCCCAACCCTTCTTTCGCGCTCTTGGGGATCTTTGCCGCCGAGACCCTGATTACTCTGCCAAACAGCTCGGACTGGTCCATGTTGTCAATGGCCTCTTTAGCGTCTTCTTCATCCTCGTACTCGACATAGGCGAAGCCCCTGTGCGGATCCGTTGAGTCGGGCTTCTCATTCTTGGGCAGCGAGATATCGGCGATCTCGCCAAAGGGAATGAAGGCGTCGTGAATGGTGGCTGTCGTCACGGCGGGTGCAAGACCGCGAATGTGGACGGTGGCTTTCCAGCGCGTGGTGTCTGTCATGATCGGTGTTGTTAAAGGTTGGGTGATGCAAGTGTGGAAATGATCAGTCACTGAAGTAAGACTTGAAACGCCTCTTGATGAAAGTGACTGTAGCTTCTGTGTACTTTCAGCCGAGGTTGAAGGTCTAACGTGTGTTGTGTCCTGACGAGGCTGGATGACTGCCGCAAAGAAAAGGATGTCGTTGTTTTGATGAATTAAGTGTGATCCTTATCTTGGTGACTTCTCTTGTGAGTAATGACTGTCGATGTGTAGGTTATGTACAAAGATCATTCATGTGCTGGATGTCGTCGAGTGATAGCGAGTGAGACATGGAGAAACGTTGAAGTTTGAAAAGTCGCGACCCCACCAGCGTGACAGCGGGGAAGCTTGGGCCATCCAAGAAGTTCATGCACCAGGCGCTTTGTACGTCATCAAATAAGGGTTTCTCCCACAGTTCGGTTTGAGGGCTTTATAGGAAGCACAAGTAGAGATGGTTCTGAAACTTTACACGACGATGTATCGATAGCTATTTGGATATTGTTGAAGGATATGTGTATATATAGGTCACCACATCATGTGGATGGAAAGAGGTAACAGTTGTCAGTACGAATGTAGTGTAGGCAGTGTAGAGTATAAAGGGTTAGGGTTTAACATGGATGGGCCCGGGCTCTCATCTTGCTGTTGCCCCTGAGCTGTGCCGTGTGGGTTGCATCAGCCTTGAAGCCAGCAAGAGGGAAAGTCCAGTGGTGCCAACGTCAGGGGCCGGGGGGGCAGCTGTTATCCGCAATCTGGCAACAAATGGACAGGCAGACGGGATGCGCTGCACCAAACCCGCTCCAGCTCACTGCCCGGAATGCCTCTAACAACACAGCAGCACTACCTCTACTCACTGTGACTTCGATCCCATCCATATCACAACCTCCCAACAGACCGACACGACACCGACCACAGACAGCCTCAATCGCGGAGGGGCTTTGGTCGTCTTGTCTTGTTACTTCTTTTCATGTCCAAGTGCACGACCTGACGATCTAGAGCTCTAATACCACCCACCCACCCCAACCTTAATTAATCCACGCCACCCGCACTCTCCTCCCACCCTTCGACCAAGGCGGCCAGCTTCAGCTTCCCCTGACTTCCCCTCTTTCGCCCACCGATTTACACCGCCCGCGTAGCCGCATCACCACCCGCGGCCGACATTCACATACAACACATAAACAATCATGGTCCGGTTGAGAGAGATCCCCCGGACTGCGGCCTTCGCTTGGTCGCCCGGCGCAAACCCCCTGCTTGTAACGGGTACCCGGTCAGGTGCCGTCGATGCCGACTTCTCAGACGAGACTAAGCTGGAGCTATGGGATCTCAAGTTGGACAGCCAGGAACAGGGCCTGGAGCTCCAGCCTATAGCTAGCATTACCGCAGAGTCCAGGTATGCGTGAGAGCTTCAACACATAGTTACCCTTCGGGCGCACTAACAGAGACGCATATAGGTTCTACGACATCGCATGGGGCCAGCCCAATGACGAACATCCCCGGGGAGTTATTGCCGGCGCCATGGAAAACGGCTCGTTGGATCTATGGGACGCCGAGAAGCTGATCGCCGGCGAGGACGCCCTCATCTCGCGCACCACCAAGCACACTGGTCCCATCAAGGCCCTACAGTTCAACCCTCTGAGGCCCCAGGTACTCGCTACTGCCGGTGCCAAGGGTGAGCTGTTCGTCTGGGATGTGAACGACACCTCGGCTCCCTTCCGCCTCGGCACCGCTGCCGCCCACGATATCGATTGCTTGGCCTGGAATCCCAAGGTCGCCAACATTCTGGCCACTGGTGGTGCAGGAGGCTTTGTTACCGTATGGGATCTCAAGACCAAGAAGGCATCTCTAACCTTGAACAACCATCGCAAGGCTGTCAGCGCCATTGCTTGGGACCCAGAGAACTCGACCAAGCTCCTGACGGCTTCATCCGATGATACCGCTCCCGTCATCCTGCTCTGGAACCTTCGCAACTCCCAAGCGCCAGAGAAGACTCTCCAAGGCCACGATCAGGGCGTTTTGTCGCTTTCGTGGTGCCAGCAGGATGCAGGGTTGCTTCTTTCTTGCGGCAAGGACAACCGGACCCTCATTTGGAACCCTCAGACTGGAGAGCGTTATGGAGAGTTTCCTGAGGCTACCAACTGGACTTTCTACACCCGTTTCAACCCTCACAACCCGAATCTGTCGGCCACAGCATCCTTTGACGGCAAGATCGCTATCCAGACCCTCCAGAACACGAACCCCTCGGCGGCTCCCGCGGCCCAGAACAACCTTTCTGATGATGATTTCTTCTCAAAGGCCGCGTCCCAGCCGCAGGCGGCTTCCTTCTCTCTGCCCCGGGCACCCGCCTGGATCGAACGCCCCGTTGGCGTTTCCTTCGGCTTCGGTGGCAAGCTTGTCTTCTTCAACAAGGTGGAGACAGCTGCTGGCCAGAAGAGGTCTTCCAAGTTGCAGATCTCCTCTTTCTCCATCGACTCCGACATTGGCTCCGCAACCGACAAGTTCGAACAAGCCATTCAAAGCGGCGACATTGCGAGCATCTGCGAAGAGCATATCGAGAACGCCAAGACGGACGAGGAGAAGGCTGAGTGGCAGGTGATGCAGACCCTCAGTGAGTCTGATGGGCGGACCAAGATCATCGAGCGTCTTGGTTTCATCAAGGACGAGCCGGTCGAGGAGGCTAAGGAGGCCGAGTCACCCATGTCTCCTGAGCCGAAGCAGGAGGATTCTACATCTCTGAAGCCTAACGGCGGAGAGGCCAAGAAGCATAGGCGTGTTGTAAGCATGTGGGGAGACGGCGACGATGGCGAAGATTTCCTGTCTGAGATCGCCGCTACCAAGGGAGCCAAGACCGACAACCCCTTTAACCTTCTGAGCGTGGGCAACACTCACCTGGAGGATCAGATCACCAGGGCCTTGATCCTGGGCAAGTTTGAGAAGGCGGTAGAGATCTGCTTGAAGGAGGAACGATGGTCGGATGCCTTCTTGATCGCCAACTGCGGCAGCAAGGAGCTTGTGGAAAAGGTTCAGACTGCTTATCTCCAACAGAAGAGAGGTAGCCCCAGCTATCTGCGGCTCATCAGCTCTGTTGTAGCCAAGAACCTGTGGGATATCGCCTACAACGCGGATCTTGCCGACTGGAAGGAGACCATGGTTACCCTTTGCACCTATGCTGATCCTTCCGAGTTCCCCGACCTCTGCGAGGCTCTCGGTGACCGCATCTTGGAGTCTGGTAACAGGAAGGATGCCTCTTTCTGCTACCTGATCGGCTCGAAGCTGGAGAAGGTTGTCGGTCTCTGGGTGGACGAGCTTCAGGAGACTGAGCAAGCTGCCTTAAATGAGGAGGCCGGTGATTCCACCTTCTCGGTCCATGCCAAGTCCCTTCAGCAGTTCATCGAGAAGGTGACCATCTTTCGCCATGTGACCAAGTTCAACGACAGCGAGACGAGCCTCACTGAGGGTTGGAAGCTGGCCGCTCTGTACGATAAATACCTCGAGTACGCTGACATTGCGGCTGCTCATGGCCAGTTGTCGGTTGCCCAGAAGTATCTCGATCTTCTGCCTACCAGCTACCCTCCTGCGGAGACAGCCCGCAACCGTGTTAGGCTTGCCACTCAGAAGGCTGGTGCTCAGACTGCCGTTCGGCAAGCCACCCCCGCTGGTCGCACCACCACCACCACCTCCTCCCGTACCGCTGCTCCGGTCGGGTATCAGCAGCCCAGCTTGGTTCCGGCTCCGGCCAACCCCAGCTCTCTGAACCCCTACGCCCCGCCAGTGCCGGCACCGGTGAGCGCTGCGGCCAGCAACCCTTACGCTCCTCCTCTCGCCCCTGTTTCTGCCGCCGCTTCCCAGTACGGAGCCTCGTCGTCTACATACGCGCCTCCCCAGAACCAGGGATATGCCCCGTCAGGATACACACCACCCACTCAAAGCTATGCTCCTACGTCCGTCACTGGATATAGCGTTCCCGCTCAAAACTTTGGTCAGCCTAGCCCACTTGGTGGTCCCCCCAAGACCACCGCGCCTCCAGTGCAGCTCAAGAGAGACGGTGTCTGGAATGATGTGCCCATGGTGACAAAGGCTCCTCCTCGTAGGAACACGCCGAGCGTTGCCCCCCTCACTTCTCCATTTCCTGGCCAACCCGGCATTGCATCTCCGCCACCAACCGGCCCCTTCCAGCAGGGTGCGCCTACGCCGCCGCCGCCCCCGAAGGGTTCTGCGCCTCCGAGAAATGTCGGCGCGCCACCGACCGGCCCTCCCAGACCTTCTTCGGTCTCGAGCAACGCTACCAACCCCTATGCTCCCCCTCCGCCTGCCGCCGGTCTGCAGCCAACATATGGAGTCCCGCCCGCTCCCCGGACGGCTTCTCCATACAACCCTCCCCCCTCCGCCGCCGCGCCCCCAGCCAACCGGTACGCCCCTGCTCCTGCCACGCAGCAGTACACTCAGGGACCACCATCCGGTTCAGGAATAGCTCCTCCTCCGGCGTCTGGAGCCTACACTCCTGCCCCTCCAGCAGCCTCTCAGCAATATGCTGCTGCCCCACCACCACCTCGGGCGGGCTTCTCGGCACCTCCCCCAGCGTCTAGGCCTCCCGGTGGTGGCCCTCCTCCCGGTGCTGGTGCTCCTCCCCAGCAGCAGGCCCCTCCTCCCGCTGCCCCACCCAAGCCCAGATACCCTCCTGGTGACCGCTCCAACATCCCTGAGCACGCCAAGGAGCTCGTCGACATCTTGAGCAAGGACATGCAACGCGTGGCCTCCAAGGCCCCTGCCTCCTTCGCTCCCCAGGTCAAGGATACCCAAAAGCGTCTCAACATCCTCTTCGACCACCTGAACAACGAGGAGCTGATCAAGACCGAGACGATTGACCAGCTGGCTCAGTTGGCCGGCGCTTTGGCTGGAAAGAACTACGATATTGCGTCCAAGATCCAGGTGGAGATTTCCAAAGAGAAGACGGAGGAGTGTGGTCAGTGGATGGTAAGTTTTCGTCGTCTTACTTAATGAACCTCGTTCATAACCAATATGCTAATTTATTCTCTGTTCAGGTCGGTGTCAAGCGTCTGATCAGCATGAGCAAGGCCACTCCTTAGAAGGATTATGGGGTCAAGTCCTCGTCGTCTAGTTCTACTTGTACAGACTTGGTTGATCAGTATAACTTCATTTTTCCAGAACGGTCCCCGCGGAAGAAGAAAACGTGTAAGTTGTAAATAGAACACTGAGGGGTGCTGAAGCGGTTTCACGTGTCGTTACCACTGTCCATATGTGGAAACGAAAGTGGAAGAGGAAGCGAAAGAGAAGGAGAGAGAGAGAGGAATAGCCGAATTTAGCGTTGTGGATATAAAAAAAATGGCTTAGATTGTTTCTTGCTTTGATGATGGTCTATTGATTCCATTTGCGTTGAGTCGGTGGAATGTAAGTTCTGCGTATAATCCGATAATCAGTGAATCATACATAGGTAGCTTTGAGCTAAAACTGTTTATTCGACACTGATCCCATAACTTCCAATTCCGATCTAAGTGTGGTTTCCACGTTAGATGCAAATGACTGGGATCGAAACGACAAATGTCGCATATCTCTGTATGTACACTCTGCACCCTCGTAACACCACTGGGTTTGTACGCCCCAAGTGTGGCATCGACAACTATAGAAAGGACAAGATCAAGATGCTGTGGTTGTGTGGAAGTCGTGGCCTACCATACCGTCGTATGCTGTGAATTGCTTCATAAGCACTTGAGTTGAACCAGACGACAAAAGTATAGAGGTGTCTGTTAGAGGTAATATAAGAGCAGATTACTCTAGAGCTGGGAGAGAATCCACAGTCCAACAAACAGCGAGGAAGACAGTCAACGTCAGATAAGTCAATGCCAGTCAGTCAGTGCCTTACACCTGGGAATCATGATTTAACCTCACCTTCTACGGTTCTCTTTCTACGCTAGAGATAGTATGGAGGGTCGTCGCCCTCCGTTACTGCTTGATGACTTCTCTGCTCCTCGAGTTAACAAACAATATCAAAAAAAAAAAAAAAAAAAAAAAAAAAAAAAAAAAAAAAAAAAAATGCAAAGGTTGAAAAAAAAAAAAAAAAACTAACAGCTTTTCGACAACAATCCACCCGTTCATCCACAACTTGATCTAGAGATATTCGAAGACGTGGGAAAAATAAAAATAAAATAAAAAGAAAATAAAAAATAAAAAAATAAAGTATAGTCAGGGTGAAAAGGGGGATCTTTTGCGAAAAGAAGAAAGAAAAAAAAAGCCCGTATAAAGCATCAAAATTTAACCGTCGGTTCAATCTCCAACGCTCCCGCCATGTGGTTCACATACGCGCCATTGCCCTTTATCTACACATATGCCGATTATGATGTTGTTATTGATGAAGATGATTGTACATCCGTCATTCCGTCTCTCCTCCGCTCGTTCTCTGTAAATGCGCATGAAATGTATGTATACTGATTGATCCCAACAATACCAAACGTCAGTTGTCACATCAAAGCCCCCTCCTCATATTCATACACAGCTTTTCTCTTCCTACTTGGGAAGGGATGCGCATGTGGATTAATATGTTGAGTAAGTTAGATCGCGGTAACCAGCCAAGGAGCGGTGGTGTAACACGTCCATAAATTTCTCCCTACCTCTATGTCGTCATCTTTTTAGTAAGTTCAAGTAAGAGGTCAGACAGCAAAACAAAAATAAAACGCTGAAATGCTTTCGCTTGGTCGTATTGTCCTCGTACCCAACTAAATACCACTTAACCAAAACGTTGACGCATGGTTCGCGAGAGCGTGACGTGTCTAAGATAGAAAAACTGGGGATGATGAAACCAACAATATGGATATATAAAGAAGAAAGGCTTTCGTCATTATCAATTAAAAATTTGCATCCCATCCGCTGCTTAATCACGCAAATTCCACGACGGCTTTAGCTTGTCGACCACAGCATTTGCCGTGAAGACCTGCGCGTCCTCAGGTAAATGGTCTACTCGTCCAGCGCCGGTGCGAATAGCATTGAGCGCTGCAGGCGAAAGGGGACCACTGCGATTGCTGTGGACCGAGCCGGCGTCGCTGTTGCTGTGGGCGTGGCCAATCTTGGGTGGAGGAGCGAAGTCAAGACCGGTGAATGTGCTTGACTTGTGGAGAGTGTGACTATTTGATGGTTAGTAAACGGCTAGTCATTGTGAGGGTCAAGATATTCAGGATTATCTTACGGGCTGGGGAGAGCAGGAAGCTCTTCAAAGGCATTGGCCAATGGCGAGTGCACCGGGACCTTCGTCTGGAACGGACGGCGCTCACCAGCCGGACTCTGAGACCGGCCACGAACACGATCCTTGAAAGTCTCTGGTGGAGCAAAGTCCGCCGCGTTGAAGATTGAGAACTCATCCTTCAACATGGATGGGGCGGGAACGGTAGGCAGGTCTGCCGGAGGAGGAGGCATGGGCTTGCGGGGTCCGCCAGCTCTGCTACCCGCACGGCTACCGGCATTGCTACCAGCGAACGCTGAACCGGCGCGAGGACGTCCATAGCCTGAAGCGGCAGATCCGGGCCTCCTGGGAGGGCCCATCTGGTTGGAGACAGAAGAGCCAGGGCGGGGAGGACCACCGATGCCGGGGGGCATACCCCTCATGCTGCCTGTTTGAGCATGGCCAGGTCCGCGGGGACCACCAGGTCCGCGAGGGCCGGGGAATCTTTGGCCTGATGGGGGAGGAGTCATGGCACGGCGAGCCACGGGTTGAGCGTAAGGCATGACGAAGGCATTCGCCTTGGGGTCGAAGTAGGGCGCGGCAAGATCGTCGTAGTCCTGGTTCTGCGGTGGTTGCTGAGGACCCTTTCCTTGCATCTGACCGATGTTCTTGGGCAGTGCCGGTACAGGAGGCGCGTCACCAGGCTTGTCCTCGAAGTACTCCTTGTAGAAAGACCTGATACGGTTGGCGCGGTACTCGGGATCCTCGGACTCCATGATATCATCAGGCGGTAGAGGACGGAAACCAACAGACAAGCGGCGGTTCACACCGTTTTGAGGTACACCTAGGCCGGGACCATCCTTAGCAGCATCTTGCTGTTCGTAGAGCTGAGACTTTCTCTGCATGTTACGTCCTCTCCGGTCATCATCCTCAGGCTCTTCGGGCATCTTGGGGAGATCAAAGTACTCTTGAGGCTGTTGGATAGTCGGAGCAGCCGATGAAGGGTGAGTAGGCTCGCGGGGAGTGCTGGCAGGGGTGGAAGAGGGCGAAGAAGCATCGTGGATTGAAGCCTGCATAGGCTCGGGAATATTAGAGAGACCAAGGCCCGTGGAAGCCTTCTTTGATCCGACGTCCACAGCAGGATTCGCGGGGCTAATCGGCTGGCTAGGAGAAGCGAGAGGCTTGACACCGTCCTTGTGGGTGGCAGCATGAAGCTCCCTTGGCGAGCCAGTCAGAGTCCTCTCCGAGTCGCTTGTTTCGTTGTCTGATGTCGCATTTGAAGAGGGATCTTGAACAGAGATTCTAGGTGGTCTGGGTCCATTACCAGGCCTGGCGTGAGTGGGCTCGGGAGACCTGGGCATAGAACCTTGACGAGGAGGAGGTCCGCGGAATGGACCTGTAGGGCCCCTGTCGGTTCCCCTGGGCATGGACTTAACCGAGGCGGCATCACTGGCAGTGTACTGAGTTACCGGGCGGAAAGGATCATCTTGCGGGTTGAGCGTGCGGGCCAAGGAGTTGAGTGATGACTGAGAACCATGAGCATCGGGCGGCAAAAGGTAAGGGCTGGAAAGATTCATGTCCATCGACATTTGGTGGGCGTGGAATCGCGATCCGTTGCCGTCCTTTTCGCCCGCCATGTTTCTCCCTTTGGCTTTGCCCATGTTTTCATCCAAGCCGAAATCTAGGGATTTATGGGGGTCATGGGCCTCCTCGGCCGCCAGCTTCTTCATGTTTCTCCTATGGAGGTAGAAGAAGACACTGAAAGCGGCTACAAGTGGGATACTAAAATGTTGTGAGTGGATTTGCATCAGCTTGAATATGTGTCGGTAGACTCACCAGAGACCTAGCACGATGGGCACAGTCAACTGCGAACCGCCCACGGGCTTTTCGCAAAGATTCGGATTGGCGACGCAGTCCTTGCCGTCCGAGGAAGAAACAACAGCACGGGCAACAAGAACGGGCGTGGGGATTCGAGAGCCCAACGTTGCCGAACCTATTCCCATGCTGCCATGACGTCTGACAATTGGGATTCGGCGTCCCAAGCCGTAATGAAGCCTTCCAACATCTCCCTCCATTTTCACCAATCGTGGTACCCTTCCTCAATGTAATCCAACGCTGAAACAACCGAACTGATAATGCCGTCGTGATCTTTGGCGCCAAATCGAAAGGTTTCGCAATGTCGACTGTTTTAAGGCAAACAAGATGGTGTTGTCATAACATTTATATGTACCACGGAAATCAACATGCAAATCTCAGTAAATGATTGCGGGTTGGCGATGGCGGTCTTTCCAGAGGCAGAAGATGGCAAGTCGAGATCGTCTGTGTCCAAGAACGGGTCCAAAAAGAACGAGGGTATATTGGCGACGGATCAAGATCGAGGTCACAGCGAAGAGGCGGGCTGTATGTAGTTGGCAATACGATGTGGTGATTAGTGGTATTTGTTGGTGGTGATGGCTTCGCAAAAAGGAGTGGACTGTTCAGGGTCAAGCCGAGAATCTGGGAGTCGCAAAACGAATGTCGAAATTGATTTTGGGACGTTGGGTAGGTAGTCCGTCTGATCGGGTTGGAGCTGTGTGTTAATGGTGGTGGTGGTTAAAGAATGGCACGCCCTGCGGCAGGGAAGAGTCCCGAAGACGACTTTTGGAAAAAGAGAGTGTAATATCCACGCGTCGAAAGACCGTGAATAGTTGGAAAACCTGAAGACGTCTACACCGCGGAGAGAAGGTGTGGCGTGGGTGGAGGAAGAGGAGGAGTGGGAGGAGGAGGAGGAGGAGGAGAAAGGAGCGACCGAGGATAGGAGAGAAAAGGGAAATGGAAGGGGAAGGTGAAGGCCACGAGAATCCGGGCTGGTTGCGGCACTCGCACAGAGCGGCAGCGTTGAGTGCTGTGGAAGCCCCAGGCAGGCACGCTTGTTGCACGCCAATCCGCTCGGCACACAAGCAGCAGAAAGGAGAGAACAGGAGGCGGAGAAGGGAGCGGGGACTCTCAGGCCTACGACTAGGTAGGTACCTACACTAGCAGGCCCAGCAGACCAGGGACCGGACCCCTGTGGCCCGCTCCTCTTCAGGCCCGGCCTGGAAGCAACCTGGAAGGAGCGAGGATGGAGCATGGGATCCTGCTGCCGTGGATACCTATATTCCGGGCACTGGGGTATGCACCAGTAGAGGTACCACCTGCACCTACCAGTGCCTGCTGCAGCACAGCAGCGTCGCCCCTAGCACTCACTGCAGGCTCGATTGCACCGTGCAGGGGGCGACGGCACATGTGGTGGAAAAAGAGAAGTGAAAAATCCGGAACGACACGGATTGGAAAGGGAGCGAGCATAAACACCCGCTGACTTTGACCCCAGTTCGTTCAGGGAAGGAGTACCTAGGTATGTAGAGCAGAGAGCTTCTGCACTTCGTCGAGACTCTCGGGATTTAGTACAGTTGTTTGATCTGGTCGGCTAATCAGGGAAGCAGCAAATCTGAGGTGTAGTGTCCATGCCAAGGGAAGTACCTCGGGTGGCTGTCTCGACGATAGCCTCACCTCCCGTCGTCATCCACGGCCGCCCGCGATCCTCCCGTCAGCGGCTGCGCAATTGTTCAGTTCACACCTATTGTCCCTTGTTGAACCTGCATTTGCTGGCAGGCGTGACCTGCTCGACGAATAGAAATTGCCAATTTCACCTTCAATCAAAGGGGGACACCGTCTCGACGTCTCATCGCATCGTTTTTGTGTGTGTGAACGGGGGTTTGCGGCAACCGTCAACCGACTGCCCAACTGCTGCTGCTTCGTCCGATGTCCACCACAACGGGGAGCATATTGTGTCTTTCCATGGCCCTGGTTCAGGAGCTGGCCAATGCACGGGATTTGCATGACTTCGACCGGGATCACAATCGCTTTGACGACCTTGGTCCCTGAGTGGCTGATAGCATCATCAGCATCCACTCTTAGGTCAGTCCTATTTGTCGACATGGCGCGAGGTGGATATGGTACACTACCTCTGCACTAGTGTACCTACACTACAGATGCATTTGCTGCCCCGGCGAGCCAGGTGGTGCAACACACCGCCCCATTTTTCCAGGTACAGCCAGGCCCGGCTCGCCAATCACGGGCCAAGGCGGTTTCGAAAAAGAGCGCGAAGGGGACGCTCCGCTGGAGAAAGAAGCTTTCGCGTTGGAGAGAAGCGACCCCTGGTCTAATATGCAGGAACAGACCTCCTTGAAAGCTTCTTCCATCCACCCACTGGGGATGCCTGGCGCTAAATCTCGCCAGAACACAGTGCCACACGGCGACGGGCTAAGATTCGATACCTCACCTTTCTTTACTTGGACGCTGCCACCCAGAGGTATGATATCTTAGTGCTCGTCTAGTAGCAAGGTGGGACGTTGCTTAGTTTGCCGAGATGATGGCTGTGTCAGCATGCTCTCCAATTTCAGGGGACGGCGAGACGGTGGGCGGACGAGGACGCCAAGCGAGCCAACCGCTCGTGCCTCGTTTTCATCGGCCTCTCCCGCCAAGGGCTAGGGCCAAGTTGGTTCGGTTTTACAAAATACCTCTAGTCTAGCACGTAGCTCGCGGGGATGGGAGTGAAACGAACGAGAAAGGAAAGCCAAACGGATCGGATAGACGGCCCCGACCTGATAAGGAATGAAACGACGCCTCAAACGTTGGTCAAAGTAGGTATAAATCCAAGATTCACAAGGACTGAGCGCCGTCGATATCTTGGCTCAAAGCTTCCGCATGACTTCATTACATCGATGCAAGTATTGATCATGATCGTAACTAATGCACCACTGCATCTAGCATCTGCAGTGCCGGACGGAATAAGGTATGGAAAGAATACATACATTGCATCTGCCGATCGCCCCTTCAACCATACCAAGCAGCCGACATACTGCGCGTAGCAATCGCCTCGCTACCCGAAAGACGTGCCCAGAGCAGCTAGACTAAAACCGATCGAGACTTCAATTTCACTTTCTCATTGCCGCGTAATATCCTTTGCTAGGAAGATTGATATTTCTCTTGACGGATGCTGCCGACCCCGTCTTGTTGTTTTCCTAAAGAAAATCCCGGGAATAGCCTCTCTCTTCCTTCCTCCCCACACAGTTCCACGTCTGGTTCCAGTGTTCCACCATCTCGGGCTCCCCTCTTGCGGAGACGAAATCAAAGCTGACCCAACAATTCCACTCCATACAAAAGTTCGCCGGGGCATACATTAGAACGATCTGCAAATAGCTTGTGGGCGACGAGGGGAAAGCGGAAAAGCCAAGGAAATCACCCATACACGACCATAGCTCGACGTGGATATTGTTTCACCGCGTATCGTCATTCTAGTGGGTAGGACAACGTTCGGATGTCTTCACTGGATGCCATGTGGCCCGCAACCAAATGTCCGAAAGGGCCTTCTTCAGACAGGCCTGGCGCGCGGCACGATGGTATTGGAGACGATATCAAAGACATCTGGTGATTTTGGGATTGTGTGCACCTGAAACTATCTATTAATCAAACATCGGGAAACGCAACCCTGGAAAACGACCTATTCCGACAACAGGGTTACTGCTCTCCCTGCAGAAATGAAGTGCCGCTCACGTGGGCTGGCCTGGCCCTCGTGATGATTGACTGCCTTTACATCGTACTGTAAAAGGCGGGCGCATACTCAACCAGCCAGTTTTTCTCAATCTTGGTAATGTCCCGGATAAAGGTCTTCTCTCCGGACTCCATGATCTCGTGGAAGATGACCCAGTCAGCCTTACGGTTGAACATGAGCGAGCTGGGATGCGCGTGCAGCACCGTGGTGCCCGACACGTTTCGGAAGGATCCGTCTGACTGCATGCGCGCAGCATGGGCAAAGTAACCCGTCGTCAGGCACCGTCGGATTTGTTCTGCCTTGTTGACTCCAGCTGCTGCTGCTGCTGGTTGAGCGACTGACAGATCGTCCTCGGTGATTCCAAAGCGCTCAAGCCACCTTCTCAGCTGCGCGCGAATGCTCATGGCACGCGTCATGGCCTTGAAGTTGATCAGGTTGTCATGACAGAACCGAGCCCCTTTGCGTCCCTTGGTAACGAAAGCCTGGTAGACGTTCAGAAGCGTAAGATGGTCACCTTCATCAGCAGCGAACTTGCGCCTCGCGCTCTCTGCTTCATCCTTTCCGCCATCGGGCTGGACCCAGATGGAACCTCCCAGGCTGGTCATGGCTGCAATTGTCAACATTTCGCCAAGGCAGCCGAAAGAGGGGGCGGAGAGAAGGGTCTTGGCCATCATTGGTTCAACAGCCAGCTCAGCCATCCTCAGCCCCAGCGGCTTTGTGAGTTTGGCGTAATCATCCAAAGCACCGAGGGAGTACAGCAGCTCCAAGGCCCGCGTCATGAGCTCAGCAGGGGGTGGAGTGAGGAAATCAAAGCGCAAGACATTGTCGATACCCAGTGCCTTGAGCTGAAGAACGAAAGGTGCCAGGTTTGAGCGTTGAATCTCGGGAGGGTTGGCATCAGGGAGAGCCTGGTACGCTTCCTCGGTATAGAGGCGGAAGCATTTTCCGGCTTTCGTTCTACCCGCTCGCCCGGCACGCTGGGCCGCAGAGGCTTTGGATACGGGAGTCGCGGTCAATGTCTCGATGCCGGTCTGGGGATTGTATGCCCGCAGCTTGACAAAGCCGGAATCAACGACATAGACGATGCCATCAATGGTTACGGAGGCTTCGGCGATGTTTGTTGAAAAAATGACCTTTCTGAAATTGGCGGGAGTTTCATCAAACACGTACATCTGCTTCTCAGTCGGGAGGCCAGCGTAAAGTGGCAGAGGCAAGATGGCTTGGGATCCCGCGGGCAACTGGGCCGAGCGCTCGGAGACAGCTTCGACGGCCTTTTCGATCTCGTCTCTGCCGGTCAGGAAAACAAGGATATCGCCTTTTGGTTCGTTGATATGAATGTCGAAGACGGTCGAGATGGCCTTCTCGAGATAGTCCTCGGCGGGCTTCTCGAGGTAAAGAATATCAATGGGGTAGGTTCGGCCCTCTAGGCTGACGATGGCGCCGACTGGGGCATCCTGCTTCTCGTCAGACTGAACATTGTCAGCGGACTTGGCCTCGTCAGTGCTATCGGAGAAGAACCTGAGAAATTCCTCGGCTTGCAAGGTTGCACTGCTGATGATAATTCTCAGCTCGGGGCGCTTCTTGCGGATCTTCTTGAGTAAGCCAAGCAAGATGTCGGAGCTGATGGATCGTTCATGGGCTTCATCGATCATGATGACGGAGTAGCGCGAAAGCAAGGGATCGACGAGCGCCTCTCTAATCAGAAGACCGTCAGTGAGGAACTTGATGCGGGTTGCTTCAGAGGTGACATCCTCGAAGCGGATGGAGAAGCCGACTTCCTTTCCAAGTTCGCAGCCAAACTCTTCGGCGACTCTGATGGCAACCGTGGATGCAGCGACACGACGAGGCTAGAACAAGGTTAGCATATCCATCATGATGTCAAGCGTGGATTGTTTGGTGTATCAAGGGCAGGACATACCTGAGTGATTGCAATGACCTTTCCATCAGCACACCACCCTGCTTTCTCGAGGAACTGGGGGATTTGCGTACTCTTTCCGGAACCAGTCTGACCGACGACAATGGTGACAGGGTGCGTTTCGACCGTGTACAGCAACGCCTCGCGATGTTTGGCGATGGGCAAAAGTGCAGATGGCTTGTGCAATGCGGGAATGAAGCCCGCGTCAAGACCAGCATCGGCTGCCATTTTGAGGAAAGCTCAGAGAGCCAAGAACAACGATAGCAACAATGACCAGGAGATGTCCACTTGCACACGATAAGTACTCGCTCACACTGAAGTAAAGTTACAACAGTGCGTGGTGGCCGAAGATTATAGTTAGACTATTTATCACAGCCGGACGCCCGATAAACGCCGGTGACGTCGTCAGCACTTTGCGTCTTCACTCACTGCAAACTGAAAGTTGCTTCAGTTATCGTCCTCCTTCTTGAAGAGCAACTCGAATTTCCCGCCCAAGTCACTGTCGAGTAGCTAGGTACCTATGTGTGTAGGTGGTCACCCGAGTTCACCTGGCTGCTTGAATGTTGTTCAAAGGAGAGAGTACACTGGCAATGAGTCTTTGCAAGTCGTTCCCCCGCGTCCAGGCAGCACTGCAGAGTCACGGTCCAGTCGTCGTGATGGTTGCAATGATGGAAGTTGCGATAGGTAAGGTAAGGTAAGGTAAGTAAGGTCACGTTCGCACAAAGTGTGGCGCCATACAGTGTAGGATAGGCACCTCTATTGTGGCGCACGTGAAACCGGCACTGCATTCGGTCGGTTCAATTGATTGATTCAAGCGAGAAAGTTGCAACATTGGGCTGCTCTCTCACTTGGTGTCGGGCTCCACTCATTCCGCCTCCCGTCATCGCAGTCATGTGGGCCGCCAGCCCGAACTCTGCTCATTCTGTGCATTCATCGGCAGGTGTCTCCCGGGCCCTTCAACTTAAATCCCGTCCTGCCCTTCAGTTGCTTCCCGCGGCTTCTGTCATTGCATCACACATCCGTCCTGTCCTCATACATCCCGTCCACATCAGTTGAAAAGCAGCGCCGAGCTAACACCTGCCTTCATCTGACTAAACCGCGGCGCCTCTGCAGGACAACTCCAGATCCACTCAACTTCCTGAACTCTTGCGCACATTTCGCCTTGTGCCCTGCCTCATCCAGTTGTCGCTGTAGCCCCTACTACTGCTCCTCCACCACTTTGGACTTGAACGGCTTTTGATTCTCAGCTTTGTGCGAAGCGCGAAAGACTCGCGGAGACCGGGTGGTCTCAGGCTGACGACGGAGAGATCTCTTGCTTGCGTACTCTGTGGCATTGCAAATCCTCGCAGTTGTCTTGCCGCGCCATCTTTGTCGCGGCTTGCTCCTCTTCATCTCGAGAGCTGAAGAAAAAGTCGACCTTCTTTCTCCTGGCTCCTAGTTCTGCGCCTGTTTTCGTTTCGATTTCCTTTTCGTCATCTGCGCAAGCATTGATCTTGCCTCGCTCGTACAAAGGCGACGCCGTCCACAGCTGAGCAGAGCGAGAGCCATCGCGACAGCCCGCCCAGCCTCGGATCAAGTCTTCGTCTGATTTCTTTGCCTTCCATTCATCACGAGGTCCCTTAAAGGATAACCCCGCGCTTCTTGTCTTGATTGCCCCGCACAAAAGGTACAAGCGTGGCGTGAACCAATAAGGCTACTGACTGTTGCGCTCTCCATGTTGAGGTTGTAGGCTATTATCGACCGAGATGGGTAGAGAGAAGAGGACCACCGGCCATGGCGCGGCCAGAGGAGAGCATGCCAAAGCACGGCATCAGAGGGACCGCAAGGGGAACATCATGGATTGGACCGCGCCGCTCCCTCCTGGCCTGGTAGCAAAGCCTGACAGACCACAGTGCTCATCCAAACACAAGTCCTGGTTTGAGTTCATCGAGAACAAGGACAAGAAGAAGAAGCTGGAGATCGAGGTAATGACCGACCGGAACAGGACATCTGCGCCAATCAGGCGCTGATATGTGTGTGATTGTGAGAATAATGCGTTGACTAACAAGCAACAGTTCACCGAGAATCGCGAGCCCCCGCCAGGTTTCGAGTTCGTCCCCATTGGCAATCCCACCTTGACCACGGCTTGTAAAGAGCTTTCGCGAGAGCAAGGTGCCATGATCTTCATCGTCACGGTTTGTTACAATTCCAGCTATCCAACACCCAACGTGACCAGCTTCTGACGCTACGCTCTATAGTCTTCTAATGGCCAATTTTCCAAAGAGCTTAGTCGCCATCTGAACCGTGTTGGTATCCATGTTCGGGAGTCCATTGTCGAACAGGCACGCCAACAGTTGGGACAAGACTCAGATCTGCCTACACCTGATACGGGCGCCGGTCAACCGGAGCCCATCCCAGAGAAACAAGAAGACATCAACAAGCAAGCTGACGCAGCTATAAGGGATCTGTTTCCGCGAATACCGAACACTGACCGCCAAATGATCATTGAACACTCGTTCAACAAGGTAGGCGCATCATTCACATTGATAAACTGTCGAAACAAGCCCCTTGCATGGATCCACATTCTCACATTTTCCTGTTTTAGGCGCGGCTACAAGATAAAAAGGATCCGCCGGTCGGTCTTGCTGCTCATGTTACGCTTTCACGTCGTGTTCAGCTTGCTGTTCTTGCTCACATCAGACATAACCACACGAGATATGACAAGCTTCTAAGGGAAACAAGCTATGTCAATGCTAGGAAAGCGGTTGAGGGTCTCTGTCTCGACTACCTGGTCAAGTGGCGAGGAGATGAGGAGACGGGCCGCGACCAACTTGATGAAATCTTGGCTGAAGTTGTCGTCATTTCAGATTCGGAAAGCGAAGATGAAGACGATGACGAGGAGGACGATGATGGCGAGGATCAATCTTCCGACGCCTCTTCAGTGGAAGAGGTCTCGCCAGATAAGCAGACTGCGCCGGTCCGGTCCACCCTGCCTGCCTCAGCCCCGAAACCATCCCCCCCAATTGTCGATTTAACCCAGCCCAGTCATGCTCAACCAGGTCCAGCAATTTCGCGAAGAGCAAACAAGAAGAGGGCTAAGAAGGAAGCTCGGAAGGAGAGACTGGCTGCAAAGAGAGCCGAAAAGAGAGCCGAACGTGGCTTCAACAGGTACCGAGCAGTCGGCCAGGCCTGGAGCCAGGCAGTCGAGCGTCAGCGCCTAGGGAATGTTGAGCATGTGCCCAGCCCTACCGCCACAGACGGCGTCGATAGGTCAGTTCCTCAGGTTTCTCAATCGTGGCAGCCTTCTGGGCCAGAGACTGTCCGTCCCCCGGATCAAGGTATATATTACACAAGGGAACCGCTACAACAAGCGCGATATGTCTACGACAACAGCCCCCAACAATCAGGGCCGGTCTACAGCAGCGTGCAGCGGCCTAGCTTGGTTGAAGCAGCGCCACGAGTGCCCGATCCCAATTTTTACAGTGAACAGGATTGGCCTATCCAGCGCCTGTCGCTACGAAACAGTTCCAGACCTATAGTTGGGGCTCAAGCTGCTTCTCATGCGAGCACTGTTGTTGAACGGGTAAGACATCATGGCGAAGACCTCAGGGACTATCTTGTGCCGTCCGTCGAAGAAAGATCCCCAGATGTTGCAAAGTTCCCGTCCGAGTTTCATAGTCAAGAGTACAGGCCACCGCGGGAGGCCCATAACAATATGTCAAGTAGGCAGGTGCATTACACACTGAACACTCGAGAAGAGTTCATCACGCTCCCACCGCGGAGTGACGGCATACGAACAGCCACGGTGCCTGCTGCACGCCCAGAGTCTTATATCGTGGTCAGCTCACAACCGCGTGGTATGACTCGAGCCTATGCTCCAGTTGCAGGTACTGGTAACCCCCATGACATGCCCGTATATCGTGACGATGCCCGTCTCGGTGATTACGGACCACCCGTCAGAGCGGATACCCAGTCCTGGATCAGAGACGACAATGCTCATCCTAGGTCGGAGGCCTGTCCGATTGTGATTCACGATTCTCCCCGACCAGTGAGGCATGAGAGCGTAGTCCCCGCGCGCTTCCCTCCAGAGGCACGCCCTCCACCACTGCCTAGAAGGGAACACGAAGACGTCGACCATCTGGGCGCTATTTACGTTGGGGACCGTGACACGTGGCGTTCTGACCCCAGAAACGGCCAGTATGTCGAGGACCAACTGGGAGACTTTGCTGAGATCGTAAGGGTGTCCAACAAGTTTCCAAAGCGTCACGGTTCCCAACCAGTACCGGTAGATGTAGAGTTTTACGACTCTCGGCCGAGCGTTCCACGCGCGCAAGATCATGGGCATGTCTATCGTGAGGGCCAGCGGATCTATGACTCCCAATTAGGGCATGCAACTTATCCGCGAATCGAGCGCGTCATTGGAAGGTATGAGCAACCTGCCGAATATCGCTCGGAGGAGGTTGTATCAGGCATCAAACGGTATGCCGATGGATATCCAAGTGGCAGCGCAAAGCGGCAAGAAAGAATTCTGGGCATAGAGTACGTTGCTGCACCTCAACCGCAATGTTCCCTTCATTACACCTTTTCATTCTCGTCATGTACTAATCAAAAGGCTTCACAGGTCTGAGGGTCATTTTCATCCTGCCACTACATACATTCCCCTAGATGACGACTACCGGTACCAGGGACAACCTCAAGTCACACATGCGCCACTGCGGACTTCCATCTACCCGCCAGTTTCTGCTTATCCGCCCCGTCACTAGCAGCGGTGTCGTACGATATAGTGGCATCGTGGCATACGACAGAGATTTCGTGTTGAGTCGAACAGATGTACTGTTGAATTTCCTACGAAACCTTGCATGCGGGTATATCAGCATGCTCTTTCTCATCTTTTCCAGCCACGGATGGGTGGCAGACCTTCTCATACATAGCGTTAAGATACCCTGTGGATATTGGAGGACTAGAGCGGAGGCATGTTGTTCAAAGATGCATGATCAGGGCGTCATGGTTATCGTGTATGGGTGGCAGCTTGCATTTTTTTGGCGTTCAAAACTGGCTTAAGTGCATGGGACCTTCATGTGCTGGGCGGACGTTTGGTCTTGATTGTCAAGGCGAGGAGCATCAGGAGCGTATCTTCTACTGGATGAGGGTTTACATGATACGCAATTACAGCGTATTGCATACCAATGTGTTCAGCATTAGATCGAGTAAGGCCATGGTGTAGCGTGTTGTATTTTATGTTTGCTTTAACAGTCATGCGATTGAAGAGGGAACTGCCAGGCATGCGAACATGCTCATTGCAGCACGTTGGCAAACTCATATGATGTACAATGATAAGAACATTTGAAAGTCTGTAACATTGAACTTTGCGTATTGAATTCGGACGGTCGACTTTCGATGCGGAGACGAGTGATAGTAGATTACGAACGTGAAGGTATTCAAGGTTTGTGGACAGAAGGTGGATCGACGAGCTCATTTCTCTTTCCCAACCCAAGATCGGAAATCGTAAAGATGGGTATTCACAGTAATCTCCAAATTGGCTTCCTCATGCCCCTAACCATATCAAACCCAAAAACCTTTTAATGAGAAACTCCGGAACACCTCTCACCTCTGTAGATATATACTCATAACTCATCGTCAAGCCAGCATGGCCTGTCTCTCCTCTTGTCGTTGCCGTTGCCGCTGCTGTCTCTCCTCTTCTTCCGCTCTCAACGGTGACGATAACTCGGTATCGGGAACGTTTGGTAGCGGCACTTGTGGTACTGGCTGTACGGGCACCGGTTGGTTCTTCGCAGCCACCTCGGCCTCCAAAGCCGCCAACTCTTCTTCGACTTCGTCTTCGTCCTGGTTGGAGATGCGACCTCCTAACATTTCGCTTACTTCCTGTTTTTTGAGGGGCGTCATTGTTAGCTAGCCACTCATTCAACATTCCCAACAATTCCCCCTTCTCCCCCCCCCCCCCCCCTCTCCAAAAAAAAAAGGATCAAAGGGGAGGACATAAAGATCTCAAGACAAACCTGTTGATAAGCAATCTCCTCTGCCGTCTCCCCCATCATCTTCTCGACGTGCTCCAACCCTCCCATCTCGGCGTGTATCTCTTTCAACACTTTCGTCCCCTGCTGCAGACCAAAAAATACGTCCTTTTGTATTAGCGCAAACTCCACACTTGAGGTTAGTTTTTCCAGTTGCTCCAGTTGCGCATCGGTTTTTTGGAGCAAAGTTTCCTGGTACTTTTTGCGTCGGAGAGCGAGGAGCGCCCGCTGCTTGTCCCCCTTGGCCAACATCTGGCGCGCGATGGCAGTTTCTCGGTCGGTGAGGACGGTGATTTTGCGCTGGTATTGATGGAGCTTGTCGCGCTGGGTTTTTAGGTCGAGGATTGCTCTGGAGGGAGGAGAGAGGGTGTCAGTTGGGTTGACTTGGGTTCTTGTTGGTTGGGAGTTGGATGTTAAGGGAGGAGTGCGTTGCGTACTTGTCTTGCGCCGTGACGCGGCTTGGCGAGTTGCCCATGGTTATGGCATACGAGAAGGATTTCGTCCAGTGTTAGGTTCGGTAGGTCCGGTGGGGATGGGGATGGGGATCGGGATTGGGAGATCCTCGGCGGAGGGAGTGCTGTCTCGTTCGCACGAGGCACGCACACGACGACGATCCGGGGAAGCGTCGATGCGGGAACGGACTTTGTGAAGCGGCGGGAGGGTGTAATTGCACGGGGCTGGTTGTGAGACGTCACTGCTGGGTTA